ACATGGAGGGCATGGTGGAACAGGTGCACCTAAGTGCACCTTTTCAAGGCCACCATGCCCACAAATAAATAGACAATGTGCATTTAAAAAAATACAAAACAGTGATACTATTTTGTATTGCCAAAAAACCGTTACTCAAGCAACTGGATATGATTTTGAAACCGTTGCTTGAGTAACGGTTTTTTGGCATATCGTATTACCTGGATGTCTAACCTTCATCGACGTATTTTGTATTATCAGTCTTTTTAAACCATTGATACATAAAATTTCATGTGTTTCAGAATGTGATTATGACGCTGAGTGCTGAAGGCTGGTGCCATGTCTTCTCCATAGAACATCATGAGAAACAGGTAATTTAAGGTCTGCACATATACCAAGGAAGACAAGTTGAAAATCAAGAATTTGAAGCTCCTTGAATATACTAAGCAGGGTTGTCATTACACTGACATGCCCGAACTGTATAGATAATTCTTCTGAAAATGGCTGCTTTTCAAAACAATGCCAATTTGTAATGATAAATCTGTTTGATCACACACATATAAGACCTTCATATTATACTGCATATTTGGAATTAAAGTATATTTTGATATTAATGTTGCATGAATGATATCTGTCTGCAGAATGAAGATGATGAGAAGGACAAGGAAGCAGCGTTGTCACAGGAGAAAGCAGGGCCAGAGGAAATGACACCTGTATATCAGCAGCTGTTAGCTGCCAATGGGCAAGCTATTGTCATAGCTGACATTGGTAAGGGCATTTTATTGTCATATTTCACCACAATTGTTGTACAATTCAGTCTTTAAAAAACTATAATTCCAGAAATGTCACATTTATGTTTCATACTTCTTCTTCTTTCTTTAAACAACCTCCTTCGTCTTGTCGAAGATTACATGTATGTCATTCAAGTGTGTACTGCGCAAGGGTGGGTGGGGTAATGTACTGAGGAAATGGAGATTTCAAGGGGGGATTACAGCATGGACTTGAAGTCCTCTAAGTTGCTACTAAGAGCAATGTGAGCCGGCAGGCTGTTCCACTCTCTGTTCGTGGAAAGAAGGATCTCTCCCTATACTGTGACCTTAATATTACTTGACATACATATGGTTACTCAAAGGCAAATAGCATGACCCACATGCAAGCTACTGGTATTATTAATTACCTTTGCACAGTCTTGACAAAAGTGCACAGTGGATCATAAGTTGCAGAAAATCTGTGGTGCCGACTGTCTTTGTTGAAGGATGGTTGGTTGACATCTCATGACATCAATCATCAAAAAGTATTTTAAACCACCTGTCGTGTCCACAGATAATGATGGGAAGAAGGAGGTTGTGATTGGGTACACAGACCGTGTAGTCCGTGCCTACAGCTGGGTGGAAAATACTTCACCAGCCTCCACAGTGAGTAATGTGTGTGTTGACAATAATGCATTTAAGGAGATGTACCAGTGATGAGAAGTATGGCTGCAGCAATTGTGCAAGCACATCTAACCCTAGGAAGACAGGGAACAACAGAATGCTAAACTGGATAGTGACTCAGTGAGTGAGTGAGTATTATAGTAGACCAATTGAAACTAAAACAGCTAAAGAATAGATCATCATCTCAGGGTAGCTTTCACAGTCCCAAAAAGAAAAGAAACAGATATATAAATTGTCGATGTCTTAACAGGTAGAAAAAACAACAGTGACTATGATTTATTTTTTTTCTCACTATTTCTCCTTTTTGCAGGGCCAGGATGTCCTGAGTGGCAAATTTGTGCTCCTTCAGACATGGGAGTTGGTTGGTCAGGTAAGCTGCCTCCTAAACCTCAAAGAACTGGGACTTGTGAGATAAATTTTGCTAACACTTCTGGTGTTGAAGTTCCACAAATCATGTCATAGTTAGTCTGATGGTTGCCATGTATTTCCAGGTGGGTTCCATTGTTGTAACTAAGGGAGTAGATGGCCAGACAGAGCTGTTAGCCTCCCAGCCTGGCTGCACCTACACGACACTACTGATGAAGGACAGGGGGAAAGGGGGAGGGGGGCAACAAAGAAGAGGAGGAGGAGGAAGAGGAGGAGGAAAGGCAACAGGCAAGGTTAGTAAGAACATGTTCCCATGCAATCATCTTTTTTGCAGATTTTCTCGTTACAGAATACCAGTAATTTCAACAACATTGTCTTTCAATTTTGCTGTCTTTTGATTATTTATTAAGCCTGTGGACAATTGATTGATTTGATTATTTGATGTAAAGTGAATTATTTTCATTTTGGGATGAAAAAAATCCATCAACAATGGTCTGGATTAGTCTGGTACTAGTATCTCGGTTCACCCATGGATGACTGTGTGTTTGTGTTCCAGTGGTGAGACTGTGATCTTCCACCCCCTGGTGTCATCCCGAGCCAGGAACCCTGATGTGTCAACAGAGATCATCGGGAACTTGGCAACAGGTACATTGTAAAAAGAAATCCACTTACAAGGGCTGTCAGGTGCATGTATGCCTATGAAGAGCAGTCAGATAATGAAAATGAATCAAGTTAGAATAGCCCAATTTTGCACATGTAAAGAATCCTTTGAGAAAGTCCTGAATTCAGATCTCTTAACAATTGTTTGTTCTGATTGCTCAGAAATGTCTTTTCTTGTTGTTTATTTGTTTGTGTAGGGCCATCAGATGATGCAGGGGACTGTGCAGGACGGGGGCTGTATGCTATGTGTACCCTAGATGGTAGGTGGTTCTCCCCTTTAAACACTCCATCCTGACTACTATAGATTTGAAGATGTTAATTTTCTGACTGTGGTGTCTTCTATGCCTGAGTGAAATTTGAGATACCTATATGTATATGATGCTTTCTGAAAAAGTGCACAAATGCTGACAAACATCATAACAATAAATGCTGATCATTTTGACCTCCATAGACAGAAATTAAGCAGCATTGTGTGTTTACTTATCAGGTACTTTGATGTTGGGCCAAGGAGAGGAGATTGTGTGGTCACTCCAGGTGGACCACCACCTGTTCTCACTGACCAAACTGGACGTCACTGTGAGTTGATTAAACTAGTATTATCAAAACAAATCTCATCTTCAAGTTTAGACATGTAAAATGATGTTGACTGCCAACACTTAAATTTCTTGATGTGTAGTTCAGAGTTTCCAGTTCAGTTTCTTTGTGGTCCTTCGAATTCCTCTCCAAGACTGTCATGTTTTGTTGTGAAGCTACATTTGTAGTAAGGTATGAAAATGTACACCTGTCAGTTACAAGGGATTGATCTAACAGGTAATGACTACATGTAATGCGTAGCAGTTGTTAGGCATTAACAATGCTGTTACTAGGCCTGATATATGATCATAGACATTGATCTTTTTTCCTCACATAGCGGGACGGTAAAGACGAGATAGTGGCATGTGGCTGGGATGGACAGACGTACATCATGGACCACCTGCAGAACATGGTCCGCTTCCAGTTCGACCAGCCTGTCAATGCCTTCTGTGCTGGTAGGGGGCGCTTCTGTATCATGGAGAAGGACATTGTCTGACTCAAGCATGTACCTGGATCTTACATGTATAGTTTTGTCTGACCCTGACCTCTTCTCGCATGACTGCAATGAAAAGCAGCCAGCAGGACAATTTGAGTATTTCATGAATAAACAAAGACTCTAAAGAAACTATTTGTCAACCAGTATATAACTGCCTTTCAAACAAATTCATCAGCTTGGTAGGCATTCAGCACTAGTAGGAGCTGGTCAATGATCGTAGACATTTTGAAGCATTTGGAAAGAACAGATCCTTGGCTACCATTCATCAATGAGTACTTCTATTCATCAGTTTCTCAAATTACATTTAGGTAAATGACATTGAAGATTCAATTTTATGAAGTGTTGGAATGTATTTTTTGCAGGTCTGTATGCAGTGAATCCAGGAAAGAATGTCCCCTGTCTGGTCTATGCCACCTTCCATAACAACATCACCCTGCACTTTAACACTACCCTGCCATGTCTACTCCCAACTACACTTACGGATGTCTTAGCAGACAAGGAGAAGGTGACACGCCTGTTAGAAAAATTCAACCTGCAAGGTAAGGAAGGTTCTACGTTAGAGGCTGGAAATTATGGCTGTGAAGTCAACCTTTGGCAAGTTGATTTATCACTGTACCTTGTCAACATAAAAGCTTTTCCTTCAAATTCCAGATGCAGACTCTGGCACTTTGCAGCAGCTGTACCACTGGTGTATCTATGGACAACCTTGAACAGCAGCTGTAACACTAGTTTATGTATATGGACAGCTTTGAACAGCAGCTGTAACACTGGTGTATCTATGTACAACCATAATCAGCAGCTGTACCACTTGTATAGCTATGGACAACCTTGAACAGCAGCTGTACAAATGTACCACTGGTGTATCCACGGACAAACTTGAATGGCAGCTGTTCCACTGTTGTATATGTATATAATGGCTACAAGAGACCCAGAAATTTGGAATACATCAATTGAATATGTCAGTTGCACGAAAACAGACGTCAGCACATCTCCAAAGGTGAAGGGCACAGAGATAGCCAAAAGGATGTCTAACTCGAAGGACAAGCAACCCTTAGCTGCCACTTCAAATTCCTTCCTGAACTGTATCTATATATGGCGACTTCTGGACTTGCCTTGTATCAATCCAGATATAATATTAAAGTCTACATACAATTGCGAGCACTCTCATACTGCACTCTTAAGTTAACTGTTTTCAGTATCAGTGCCTGTGCCCAAGACACCTTATAGTAGTGTAGCTGCACTCATGATGTGTGGGACAATGTGCCTTCAAATTAATGGTAGGGCAAGGCATAAATCATGGACCTGTCGTAACCTGGCAAAATGAGTTCATGGAAAAAAGATTCAAGTAAAAAAATTAGATGACATATTGTCAATTCCAGATACAAAAGGCATTGTACATGTACTTTTTAATCTAACATCATGATAATCCTGACATACATGTAGCTGCACTACCCTCTACTGCATACATCGCTGGCATAGGTACAATGTTTTAAATGCACGCACTACACTCTCCCCATTTAACCAATACAGGTAATGATGCATATAAGATATAACCACTTGATGGTACAAAAATAATATCAAAATATATGGCTAGCAAGTTATGTACATCATATAACAATAACTCTTGGCTACCTACATAATTAGCTAAACATCAAACATATATGTCTGTGTATATGGCATCTCCAGATCACAGGATTATTACATTGCAAGTCAAAACTGGTACCACTATTACTAAGCAAAGGCCTGGATAGGCAATGTTGCATTGCACTATACAAATGTACTAAAGGAATGATACATGTACATCGCATTTGCCATGTATCACAAACCAAGCAACAATATCTGGTACAGACCACTAAATGGAAGTTTGATATACAATACTGTTGACTGTTATCCAATCATTGCTCATGACTGTCAATTCATAATAAATGACAGAATGGCAAGAATTCATATGTAAAATTGTTACACATCATATTAGCACAGTGAAGGTTTAGGGCTGTTTCTGAAGTTGATAAATTTAAAATAGGTCCTTTCAAACCTTCCAGTAGTTTTCTATAAAAACCTTTTCTTGCCAAAATAACTGACATGGTATATTAAAGTGGAATGTATGCAAGTATGCTAATGTACAATGCCAAACTTACATATGCAACGGTGTGATATACAAAATAGAAAGCTAGAATCTTCATAACTGTACAAAAACACAGTAACTTTACAGGATGTATATATACCATTTTGATTGTTCAATGCTTCAAGTTCAAGAAATGATCGTAACATTTAAAACACCCATGCCTTAGCACATTTCTTGACGGAATAGCCTCCGGCACTCCGCATTTGCAACAGGTTTTTCTTAAGTGTTCTCAATACTGATGTTGCAGTACACCTCTTTGTGTACGGATTATTTTTCAAACAAATACTGTTTGTGGTCAGTTTTATTACTTGCACTGTATCATCTGTACCACTTACAAATATTTCTGTCCTGTTTGATACTTAGCATACATTCAAAAGACCAAATTGTTCCATCGCTTGCCTCTTTCATAAAAAGTTTACCTCACTTTCAACTGTCTCCGTAACTTTGGTGCTAATGTTCTTGAGGTTCAGACCACTGATTTACACACATCTGCTGAACATTTGTGAATACATGAAACAGCTGACAACACAAACAACAGACTTAAGTTAATGTTTCTGTTTAAAGTAGATGCACTTCCTGCTAAGACCTGTACAGCACATATAAGTAGTATGGAAGCTTCCAGGCACAAAGAATGGCACAAATGTTCATGTCAGAATCTGTGATTAGCCAGATTGTTCCTGTGCCCCTAATATTTCTTCTGGAGATTAAAACTCTGCTTTGAACCAACACAAGATATGAGAATATTCTGAATACTGTTTCACTGAACTTCAGTAACAGTCTCTGGCTCAGACTGGGTTCTACTGCTGCAGCTCTCATGCTGATCACTAGGTGGCTCTTCTGCTCTTCCTGTCATGTTGCTGTCACTGCCACGTGGTGTCCTGACAGTCGCACTCGACTCTTGGTGCCCTCCTTCCTCAGCTAACATGGGTACTGCTTCCTCTGTCCTTTGACACACGACCTCTCCACTTTGACCTGGGGTCACAGTAAAGTCTCTGTCGCCCCTCCCAGAGACCAGGAGGACCTGAAGGTTTCCTCCAGCCTCCTCTTCCTGCTGGTGTTCCCCTGTATCCAGTCTCATCAACAACGGCTGTTCCACTTCGCTGTAGGGGGGTGGTGGTGATCCAGGGGAGTCTGGAGATTCCTCCTCCAGCCCGCCCACGATGTCCGAGTACTTGGGCGGCGCGTCGTAAGGCTTGACCAGCCCGTTGGATATGATCTGCACCCCGTTGTTGATGTTGTAGGTCACCAGGTAGTTGCCTGACGCTCTCCTGTATCCACTGCTTTGGATGAAGTATGGCATCTGCAAACAGATGTTTCATGTACATGTATGAGGGAAGAATGTTCAAATGAACTGAAGTTTATACATTACTACAGATGGTACTGACACTTTTATAAAGCAAAATGAACTGAAGTTTATACATAACTAAAGATGGTACTGACACTTTTACAGCAATTTTGTAAATGTAGAACATTTGTCAAGGCAGCTGTCAGTAACTGTAATTGATTTAAAATAGGACTATAGACTGGTTACTTGTTTCCCCATCAACCATAAATTCACTGATTTTAAAAAAACAAGTTTCATTTTGAATGGAAAGTTAAATTGTATAGACATATAATTGTACCTGATTCTGTGAGGGGAACATCCCTCTCCTGTAGTCCCTGGCGATGTCCTGTCGCTGGCGGGGCGGCGTGCGCAGAGCCTCCTGTCTCCGCTTGATCCGGTGGACCGTGATGACGAAGCACACCACCACCGCCACAAACGCCACAGTACAGCCGATGATGGTGTAGGTGGCAGCCTGGTACCGAGCATCATGGTACAGGAGGTGGGACGTACTACTGGGGCCACTGTTCTGGGGGGAGCCTGGGAGGATTGGCATTAAAAACTTTCTTGAAGAACAGGATTTGACGTAAGGCCCACAGAAAGATCAAGGAGGCAGTCCACATGCTGGTGTGAATCATAAGGAGGGTTGGGAGCTGCCCAAGTCCTACTTAACACTGTAGCACATCACCATCTGATACACTGAGCCCCTGTAAGTAAGACCAGACAAGTCAAACCGTACAATGCAGACTTACCTGAAGGGACGTCATCACAGTGTATCTCATCGCTCATGTCCTTACAGTTGTCCTTCCCATCACACACAAAGCTTTTGTCGATGCACCTTCCATTTTCACAGCGGAACAACGGATTCAGACATACCATAGGGTAGAGTGCTGCATGGACATTAGAACATTTATAATTTTATTAACACTGGAAACTACTGTAACAATACAAGATGCTTCTTATGATCTTGTATCTTGTTTTCTGATAATGAATTAAGACTTTGAGAAGTATAGATCATGTCAAAAAATGGTTGAGAAACCATTGCCATTATTTCTTTTATATTTCATAGGTGGTAACAGTCAATGCAACAAATAGAAATCCACATACACCTACAAGTACCAGTGCAGGTTAGGTTCAGGTAGACATCAGAAATACATGTACCTGCACAGACCCAATTTCACCTGCACTAAGGTGCATATGACCCAGTATTTCTAGCCCTAAGATGTCTTGTTTAAGATATGTATATTTGGGCAGTGCTACAGATTTGACACCACAATACCTTACATTACAAGTAAACATGTCTATTAAAAATTTCAGTATGGCCAAAGCTGTCCTTATTTTCCCATAGACTTATAATACATTTCACCAACTTACGACAATTGATCTCATCGCTCCCATCTGGGCAGTCTTCAAAGCCATTACAGCGGAAGCGCAGGATGATACAATGTCCGTCATTGCAGGGGAACTGCAGCCGTGAGCACTGTGTGGTGGGTGGTCGTGCTGAAGGGGAGGAAATACTGCAGGTGTAACCATACACTGGAACAGTTGGACATTCTAGACATGGCCATCAAAATTCTTAAAAATCAAACAAGACCAAGGAAGGTTTCAGAGTAGGCAGGTATGTGAATTAATGTCATTTTTCCTTGGTCAAAGGTAATCAGAAAAACAAGAGACTTTTGACTGCATAGCCACTTCTTAACATGTACTCGGTTTGAATGTACAAGTGTACTACACTAAATATGATATACCTCTACTGTTAAGTTCCTATGTTGTAGCCTGTGTTACACAAGCTCTCTCAGCCGGAGGTCAATTTTGGGGGCGCGGCAACCTTAAGGCGGCTGCCGCCAGGAGCGCGATTTAGTCAGGCTAGACCATATTCATGCCTTGAAACTTTAACTGTAAATACATTTCTTTGCTTCAAATTTCACATTGCCATTGCAAGTCGTGATGTAAATGCAACACTTGTGATTAGGCCACGATCGCACGACATGTTATGACTACCCCCGCACAGAGGAGATCAAGAGTTAAGCTTACGGCAATTTCTTTCATCCGAGCCATCCAGACAGTCGTTCCAGCTGTCACAGTACCGGCTGCCCGGGATGCACAGCCCGTTGGCACACTCAAACTCGATCGGCTTACATCTGCTCGGAACTGTCGGCAGTGGCAACGTCGTGTTCTCTTGTCCATCTGGAAGAAAATTGGACTCATAGTTAAGTTAGGCTGTTTATCTAATTAAGTTATGATGCTACATGTAGCTTTTTTAAATTGTATTTATTGCTTTGTTCGTGATCTGTGCTCTGCATCTGCAGTCATGGAAACGTCCTGCAGCTGCAGTCAGTCTTTCTTTATCTTATTCCCGTGTCTGGAGGGTCTAGTGTCTTGGGCAGCGCAGGGAAAGCACTGATTCATGATTTGGACAAAGAAAGAAGAACTGAAACATTGAAAGAGGATGTTTGGGTACAGACTTTTCCTGATTTTTGACAGCGGAAAATTGAGGATATGTTTAGTGGTGAAATTTAGCCGCGAAATAAATGACATCCGTCTGAAATTTAGCCTGGGTGCCATCCGATAATTTTGTAACGGCAACCTCGGGGCACCCAGGCTAATCTCAATTTAAGACATGTTGTTTATTTTGTTTACAGCCGGACCCGGCCTGAGCATTATCCAAGGTGCAAAAAGCAGGTTTTAAGCGCTGTAAATTATGCTACCATCTATTTCGACAGTATCGGATATGCACATTTAAAGGATTTTTAAGCATAAAAGACGTGATAATGTGGCCACAGACCGCAGTATGGCGGATGTCTGGCCGAAAGTTTTGACAGGTTTGAGCGATGGGCGAGACTCAAGGTATCGTTTACACTAAATCCTAGCAGTGAGCAGCACGCAACTTGCACACGACTGGCGGTAAAACGCTGCTGTTAACGGTAGTCTTCAAGTCACAGAACGTTTGGTTACAACGACAAGAATACAGAACATCGGACATGTGGTACAAGGACTCACCACAGCTCCTGCTAAACGCCAAAACTGTCGCCAACCAAAACAGACTCCTTTGATGGACACCCAAATACGCCATCTTGGGGCCTAAAATGGTATCCCAGCAGCCTTTGTAAAACGGGCCATACCATCCGGGCTGTCATGTAGGTGTGTCAAAATTAAACTAGCTCACCGCAAATGCATAAAAATTATGGATGGATAAATGTTTTCAAGTCTTTGTTGATTTAAGAGCAAAGATACTGACTGAAAAAATCCACTTAACAGTCCACATTTTGAAGAAACAAGGCAATTCAGTTTCTCATACATGTAACGTTAGGTTAGATTATTATGGCAAATTATGACTTTTCATACCATGACTGAGCTTGCAAGAGGGGGTAACATTCTGAGTTTTGCTTCACCAAAGTGTTACATCAAAGCTTAAAGCTCCTTGGTTACACTTGGTAAAATTTCTACATTGTGTTGTGATGTCATGTACGGTCATTGTCATACTATCAATTCAATTTTATTATCTTCAATCTTCATAAGTGATGACATTTATCTTATTACCAGTCTTATTACCGTTAATTATAGCTTATCTACAAATGAATCATATATTCAACATCCATCCATATGCTTTCATCGCTTGTCTTCTGATCTTGAAAAAATATCTTATAGTCATATTGAACATTATTATCACAGAAACGGCATAAGAAATCATAAGAGGCACTGTCTGGAGGTACTGTACTTCTAGGTGGAATCGGTGCCGCCGCGCGAAAAGAACAAAGCGATTTCAACAAAATAAGTACATGTACATAGAAATCGTAACAATATGATGTTTATGCACTGATAACTGGGGGTAGTAAAACGAAAAAACATACTTTTGATAATGCGCTGTATGACCAGTAATTCACTCTTATCCGATAATAGTTCACAAGCCAATTGCGACAGATCTTGCAATGGCCATTCGAATTCAGGATTGTGAATAAGAGAATACCAGGGACGGCCACCAAAAAGACAAGAAAAGGAATTTTATGGATGTACCCTGGTTGCATAACGACGTGGTACACCGTGCCTCCACTCCACATCGAGCATCACAATCCGTACAAAATACTAGATTTCTTCATTAAAGAGTATTGGCAGCTGTATGTTGGATTACCGTATATGTTAGGATTACGTATTTAAAGAGGTTGTACTTTAGAACTAACCCAACTGGCCGGCTGCTGTTTCTACTCGAAGGAAGTTAGGAAGAGCGTCAGAGAGTTATAAGATGTATTACAAAAAGCTGTACTAGATAATGGTATAGATGTACGTCTTTTGTGTTTAAAGTGCATTCCATTTCCTCTTTCAAGACATTTGCGCATCGCCACCAGTCACATATACCACCTGCTGTTATTAGCATTCACCCTAAAATCCATGGAAAGTATTAGGGAATTAAGGTCGTAGACAGACAGCAATTTCAAAGACAGCTGTACATAATTAAATATAAGATAGCATTATCTACTTTGCAGTACATTATGTCGCTTTTTTCAAATGTATTCCATGTTAACTGTCACCTGTCCTTGTATGATTTACACGCACGCTAGGATTCCGAATAAGTCCCGACGATCGTAAAATCGTAACAACTGTGTTGATTGTTGCAGCCCATACTGCATTATCTACTTACCTCCGACTCACGGGCGATAGAAAATGTCTCAATCTGGATAAAGCCTGAGATTACGAAGACAGCTGTACCTTAGCTATAAATGTGTAGCTCTTAACCATGCTCGAAAGAGATCTGTTCAGTCGGAGCTTCGGACGAATAGAGCACGAATAGACCTTCCATCAGTTATAACTTTGCTCACCAACGACTGATCAGCGGAATCTAGTGAAAATGCACAACAACAGGTCTGTCAACAACGGCTCGGACCCTCTATGGTTCAACAATAGCTCGGACCCTCTCAGCGATTCGACAACAACTCGGATCCCTCTATGGTTCAACAACAACTCGGACCCTCTATGGTTCAACAACAACTCGGACCCTCTATGGTTCAACAACAACTCGGACCCTCTATGGTTCAACAACAACAACTCGGACCCTCTATGGTTCAACAACAACTCGGACCCTCTATGGTTCAACAACAACTCGGACCCTCTATGGTTCAACAACAACTCGGACCCTCTACGGCTCGACAACAACTCGGACCCTCTACGGTTCGACAACAACTCGGACCACCTATGGTTCGACAACAGCTCGGACCCTCTATGGTTCAACAACAGCTCGGACCCTCTACGGTTCGACAACTCGGACCCTCCACGATTTGAAAACCTGCTTCAGTGTTACTATTGGCACCTCCGCAACACGAACATGTCCTACCATCAGGCCAGTGAGGCTTGCTCCTCGCATGACTCGCTGTTAAGTAGAAATGGGTGGTCTGTGTACATTTTTGGACTCATTGGAATCTTCATCATATTAGCCAATGTTACGGTCCTTTTCGGCATCATCGGAACACGGAAGCTCCACAAGGCCTTGTATCTGTACATCGCAAATCTCGCGACTGTAGACCTCCTGCCAGGGGTACTCCTTCTCTGTCTTGCTTTCGGTCAGCTCAGTCAGTACGGAGTGATTGCCATGTTACACTTATACACTTGCATGTTGTTTACGCAGGCGATGTCTGCATCAGCTCTATCTTTGTTATCTATAGATTGTTACATAGCTGTGAGGCACCCTATTTTCTTCCACAACAATGCTTCTAAGGCCAAGCGGAATGCTTGTGTAGCAATTGTATGTTCGTGGATCGTCCTGACGCTGTGTGTCTTTTCATCTTCTATGGGCTGGAATTGTATATATGATCGCTCCATCGCCGTAGAAAACTGCATTGCTGTAGTCCCCCTGGGTTATGCCATTTTCTTAGCTTCCATAATTGTATTCCTCTGTTTTGTATTGATGTTCACAAACATCAGCATTTTCGTGCGCATCAAACGACGCCAAAAGACAAGACTGCGACAGTTCCGAGGAGGTGTACGTAGGACCCGGTGGGCGGAGGCTAGAGAGAACCAGGGCCGGACAGGGGGGAACGAAGACCACGATGCACAGGACAAAGCTCGGCGAGCTCATGATCAGCAGAAACTGGACTCCAGCGCAAGGAAGGCAAGAACAGTGATGACCCTTGTGACGTTAGCGTTCGTCTTCTGGGTGTTGGGTTTTGCAGCTCTCCCGTTTGGCCGAGTCTGCTTCAGAAACAGAGATGTATGCTCACCTGTGACATTCTCGAATTGGGTGATTTTACTGATGCTGTTGAATTCGGCGCTCAATCCATTAGCAAACATAATTCGCATGGCTGATTTGAGAAATGCAATCTGGCAACAACTCACTGGTCCTTACCGTGGATGTGTGAACTGTCTGAGAAGATTCGGCCGGGAACAAACAGGACAAGAACAGAATGGCCCTGCCCCAAGAAACGGTCAAAATAATTAGGCTACAGAAACGAGACTATACAGGACTAAACAATGCGTCCAGAGTGCTTCAGAGAACTGTGTGTAGTAGTAGACGAGACTTTACATCTGTCAGTAGACCTCATTCTAGCCTTAAGAAGACAAGAGAACCAGCTCTGCAGACATGGACATGGACTTGGACAAGTGAGAAAATTGTCTTTTAGTGTAATTACTAGTAATTCATTGCTTGCTTTATATTACTAGACGGAAGTGTTTTGATAATGGCTGAAATGTGTGTTTTGTGAAATAGAAGCCAATCGCGTGTGTGTCATGTGTAACCAGTGTTTACATGCATGTGTCATGTGCATTAAAAATACTGGAATTATAGCACAATTTCTTGTACGTTCCTTTTGTTTTCCTTGTTGTTTTAAGACCGTCTTGTACAAGTGTCTATAAGGTCCCTACATCGTGAGGAATGAGCTTCTCCCTGATCAGTGCAGCGGATATACGTAGAACCTAATTATGCAAGTAGGCCACTGCAAGTAATTTTAAAATTTATGACATCAGGTTTGACATAATTTTTTTCGCCTGATTTTTGAAAAAAAAGAAAAGAAATTGCCCTACGCGCGCCGATGATGGTCAACAAGCCAAAAATTGGTTATGTCATAAACGCCTATCAGTTCTGTCTCAAAATGCCCCAAATGCCTGTTTTGCAAAGTTATCATAGATTTAAATACATGCACTAATGAGTGAATATGCAAACATCGATCAGTAGAAGATTTTATTACCATGTCATTGTGCCTTCCTAGTACATGTAATTCAGGCTGCATCTACCTGCATTCTAGAAGTTTATTGCAAATTTTCATTCCACACCATTGCCTCTTAACTACTGCATAAAGATGGTCATATATCAATTATTACCTTTTATAACAATTGTTGCATAAATATCATATTGATACGATCTCTATCTACTTATTTTGCTGAAAGCGCTTTGTTTTTAGCTCCTAGAAGTACAGTACCTCAAGGCAGGCCCACCTACACCGTTACTGTGATACATGTAACAATCTTTGATATGACTATGTTACAACTGTGAGATGCCCATATGATATGCTGCTAAAGGAAGACAAATGATGAAAACACATGTATGGATATTGAATATAATCATTGTGCACTGTACTTGAGCTTTAACTCCTTTTATGCAGAATATGAGCATAGAATCACAACAGAATATTAAAATAAATGTCATCATTAATTACAATAATAAATTATTGTTACAGTAATAAAAGTATGAGACCGGTGCAATGGCCAAGTGGGTAGAGTGCTCACCTTGCATTCGGTGGGTTGTGAGTTCAATCCCCAGCCAAGTCATACCAAAGACTTTAAAAATGGTACATACTGCTTTCTCTGCTTAGCACTCAGCATTTGGAAAAGAGTATGGGAGTTAAACACACACCACTACTAGTGGACTAGCCCCCTGCTGTAGTGATTGCACATTGTCAATTGTGTGGCCCATGGGCTACTGAACCGGAGATGGGCACTGCCCTATGCACTACGTGGTGTGGGAAGGACTTTAACTTCACTAAAACTAATGACAATAAATGACACAAAATTTTGATAAGTGTAGTTAACCACATCAAAGTTCAGAACATGACTGATTTATATTCTATAAATTCACCCCCTCATTGCTATGTCTATGTGTCCAATTTGCAAGGTTTGGAGTATAAAAGTGATCATTTGAATAAAATCGAAGACAAATGTGACAAACCTTTCAAAGAAAAACCAAAAACAGCATTACAAATAACTATCATACACTATGTATTGCTGGACCATTTTCCCTACATACATGTATTTTGTTACTGATAATACATACAAGTACTGTTGATGTACATATAATATTATTGAGCTTTCTCTATGAAATTAAAGACTATTATAATTTAAATTAGTAAATAATTTAGCATAGTACAAAAGTATAATGACAACATTTTGAATTTAGCACTTTCCACATTTTTAACTGAGGTGACAAGAAGTCTCTTTTATCATTCTATTGGCCAACAAAATGTCTGCTGAGTGTACATTTGGCAACATTGAACACTTTCTATTTGGCAACAAGTGTCTGCAATTTCATCTACTAGTAACCTACATATATCATGTATATGAGAAGCTGAATTGCTTGTCTGAATGTTTCTCCAGTATATGGACTGTACAGGGAATGCTTTCAGTATCCTTACTATCAATAATGAGATTTGAAAGACATCATTTTAAGCCATCTGCTATATGAACTGCAGAGACATATTTAAACTTTTCTTCTTTGTTGTTTATATCTTAGTTACCACAGTGGTTGCCCTGAAGCATGTCTCTCATAGCCTTTTCTATATGACCTAATTTTCATGCAGGCAAAAACCTGTTGGTCTGAAAACTGTTCACACACGCAAGCATACGAAAAGAACATACGCATTTTTCCTTCATGTAAACTTGGCCTACTTTTCGACTATACCTTAACCCGAGTGCTGGCGTAGGATCTGAACACACATTCTTGGTTGTACCTCCAAGCAGGCTGATTTAGACGCAGGAAAAATTTGACCTACATAGTTTTTATACATTCTTTTGTATGCTTGTGTGCATACACAGTTTTTGATTCATCAGGTTTTGCCCACGTGTAAATCGGGTATATGACTGTCCGCATCAATAAAAGACAGTCCAAAGTAGTAGGATCATTATATCAAATCTGAAGCACACCAAATGTCTAGATTGGTGCCTCCCTTGGTTCAATGAGAATCTCGTTCACGCCGACATGAGGCGGCTGACTGGCTGCGTACACCACGGCGTTGGCCACGTCTTCTGGGTTTAGGATGGTGCACTGTCCGCTGCCATCAAACTGCTCCTTAGCCTGAGAAGGAAAAAGTCAAGATGCTGAAGTGGGGAAACATCAAAATACCCTCTTAATATCATTGGTATTCCTCATGAGTTCCTGTGTTGGTGTAATTATAAGAGTCTTCTAGTTACTAAAATCACATAAGATTTTTTGTACCTATACAATTGCATTGTATTGTCCAGAAGTAGCACATATATTTCTTACAGCGCAAACACATTCATTGTAGGATGTTGTACAATTTCAATGCCACACAATTTTCAAGCATTGACATTGACAAAAATATTGCCTTTTCAACAACAATGCAGATGCATTTTGCAGGACGCGTGCACGGCTATCCCATACAAGAATGTCCTCAGTTTGCAACCATACAATATATCATGCAATGACATACTGTGAAACAATTACATTGCAAACACCTGAGGACATCAACACACCCCCACATTACCTCCATGTCTGTTGTATGTCCCAGAAGTTCAGTCTTGACGTCCCCTGGCTGGATACACGTGACTCTGATGCCTGCCCCTGACAGCTCATGTCTCATCCCCTGAGACAGGCCCTCGATGAAGAACTTTGTGCCTGAGTACACGGCAAGACCTGCAAAACCCTGGTGGAGCACACAGAAATATTTTGACATTATACGTTATCAGTACCAGTATTCTGTTACTGATGACATATACACTGTATAATGATAAAAGTTTTAGCTTGTAACAGCCATCTAAGTTCTTATCCAAGACTATGTCCTCATCAAAAATTGGTATTTCATGAATAAGCAATGGCTTAACAAAGAAACAAACAAACAAACAAACAAACAAACAACAATGTTAAGATCTCACCCTTCGTCCTGCATCAGAGGACATGTTTATGATGTGGCCCGTCTGTTTGTCCACCATGCCTGGTAGCACAGCTCCGATACAGTTCAGCACACCCTACAAACATAATACAGAACATAATCACATTGGAGATCACGTAGCTTGGTGGCTCTAGTACTTGATTTGTATTTTACTGAATGACACCATGCAGTGCCCCAGCTACCCTGGAAAAAATGGTTAACCTTACCCAGCTGAGTTAACCATTTGACAGCAATTATTTTCGTATTTGTTAAACTAGCAAGGATAAGGTTAAGGGACCAAGGTAAAAGGAACAACAATTACTGGCAGGAGGAGAGGAAGAAGAAGAAGAAACACGAGAGAAAACAATATAGTTCATCCATACCGTGGTATGAAGTGAAATATAATCATTGTTTGCAATAGGAAATACTCTTACCTTACAGTTGAGGTCGACCTGTCTCTCCCACTGTTCCTCCTGCATGTTCTTCATCATGGTGTAGTACATGACACCAGCACAGTTCACCAGCACGTCCACACCACCTAGGGTCGTCTCCACATGCTTCATCATGTCCTTCACCTGGACACAATCAACGTACTGTCACTACAACTGGTCAATCTTATAGTTTAGCAAAGGAGTTGGAAGCTATACTTTAACCAAGGAGTTGTTTCAAGTCTAGCCTGCGTCCACTGAACATCATTTAACAGAATTTTGCTGCTCATGACAAACAAAATTTTGCCCAACCTGATGGACAAAAATTGGCACATAAAGATTATGGAAAGAGATGTCATTAAACGAAGCTTATCTACAGCAAAATTTACCCCTCAAAATGCAGGAAATACCATTCAGTGGGTCCCTAGGATTAATTGTTGCTTTGGCACCAGACATGCTATGAATATGATGAGAATGTCCACTTAAAAACAACAGCTGTCATTTTAAAGACCGACAAGACCCACCTCTTTCTTGTTGACCACGTCAGCCTTGGCCACGATGGCGATGCCTCCCTCTGCCTCCACGTCCTTCTGCAGCTGCTGCAGTCGGTCCACCCGGCGTGCCACCAGCACCACCTGCGCACCTGCACGTGCCAGGTACAGGGCCGTGCTGGCACCGATACCGCTGGACGCACCTGTCACCACCGCCACCTTCCCAGCCAGCGGACCAGACGCTTGTCAAGAAATACAAACACTTGTAGATCTAATTCACTACAAAATGAAACTATAATTTGATTTACAATCTTTAGGCCTCGTTCATACCTTAGAGAAAGGCTTGGTCTTGTTCTCCCTGTCCAATTACACAATTGTGACAAAGCTGATTAAGAAATAAATACCTGGCTTTATATATGCTAAATTCTTTAGTGGAGTTTATCTGAATAAATGTTTAGCCTGGTATGAACACAAAATACCCTGCACCATAAAGTTTTTAGCTAGATTTGACAAATCCTTCCAAGATGAGGGCTGAAAATTACATGTATCGGTGTGGCAGAGGGGAACCAACAACAGCTACTTTTGGCTACGTGTTGCACATCAGAGAAATCTGAACATGGATTGTGTTGATTGACCCTTCTCCCTGCTGACTAACTTTTTAACCAATTGAAAATGGCAAGTTTAGCCTGCTTAGCCAAGTTTAGCCAAGTTTAACCAAGTTACCTGCACGCAGTTTCTTGTTACAAGCGAGCACCCCTCGCTGCGTGAGGTTGTGGAAGTACGTCCTGAGTCGTTCCCGGGTGATCTCCGGGTACATCAGTCCCAGTGCCGACATCACGAAGTTGAAGTTGTGCATATTGTAGGTGCTTTTGGCTGTGAACACTGCTGGGTCTCTGTAAAGGGCATTAGAAACAATACCTGGTCAGCAATTGTGATGCTGCACAGATTTATTTCTAGAACTGGACATTAACCTCAGAATAATCTTTACCCTACGCCCTTGTAATCTGATCATGATGAGGCTTGAACGTATCACCTGCTACAACAACCTACGCTCATCCTGTTTAAAACATGACCTCCCTGACAGAGATAATTAGATGTAGATGTAAAGACCTGATCATGGTGCCCAGCCCAGACTCCTCTCCCTGCTCACGACTGTGCTCTTCTACCCTGAAACACAAAAACGAAAGAGATAATTATGAAAACATCTATTTTTTAACAAAAATCAGAATTAAAACAGTGTGATTGATTAGTATGAATCAAAGTTTTGTTCCTCCCTACCTGCTGCACCAGTCCTTGTGAGGGAGTAACTTCAAAGGGTATCCATTCACACGCATCCAGTCAAACAGGGTTCTGTAGAATACATCAAAACAAGAAAATCAGAGATTTTAGACTTCCGGGAAGTCTTTGCAATTTTTGTGACCGTCAAAGATCATCACAGACTCCTTTTCCTGTGTTTGACCTCCTGTCATTCTGCCTGTCAATCTTCCCTACCCACATGCTGTCAATTAGACTCTTTCTTGACAAACAGGCACACAAACCCACAGCTCAGCCACCCAAAACAATATTTCTGTACCTGGAAGTAAAGTATTAAATAAACCAGAAATATAGCTTGTGCAAGCTAGACCCCTACCAGCTCACAACAGATTGAATGCAATATGTGTTCTCCAACAGACAGATCATTTACTTAGATGTAAGTAACATGAGTTTGAAATCTCCTTACTGTGACTTGATGGGCTGTGGGTTGATGAGGTGGAAGATCTTTCCTGCTGCCAACATGATGTTCTGTGACAACATCACGATGGTCTCACTCACAAAAGTCTACCGGTGTCATCTCAATCTGAGGGTCAGAGACAAGTAATTGGTCAACATTTGCAACGTTTGTGAATTTCATTCTGATGTTTCATTGTCTACATCAGTGGTCATCAGCCATTCTCATGAAAACCATTAAGTTGCTGGAAATTTGACTCATATTGCTTAATGTTAAATGAAATGAAATATAATTTTTTTATGATGTGTTCCACTAAATACAGATACCGTGAATTTTAATAGTTTTGCAGTGATTTTATTTTTGCGGTTTTCACTTTTACCTCAGAGTCTCCACTGCAGCTTTTAAACCACAAAAGTTTTCCTTGTGTGACTACTCTAACAGTACTACAGAATTGTTTCAACCATGAATTTTAAACACTATGAAAAACTCCTCTTCTTTAGTTAATGTTCCTACCACAAACTCAACCACAGCTTAAGTTTTGCAATTTACAGCAAGCTTTTGAACATACATGCTAACGATATGACTAAAACTTGTTCCTTTACTGATCCTAATGCAGTGCTGTACATGTGCACATGTGTAGGTGCTGTACCTCCCAGTCTATGTCCGGTGCAGTCATGGTGTCCACACAGGCCTGCAGGGTAAGCAGGATGAAGTCTGCAGGGTTCCAGAAGGCCTGCTGACTGTCTCCTGACAGGTTACCTACAGAGGGGTGTCAGGTGAGGCATCATCAACACATATAACTAAGTCATCTCTTCAGTTGACCTGGTTGGTTGGTGGGTAGGAACTATCGAAGTAGATATCAAGCCTACAGTAAACAAGCTTAAAAAGTTAAAAGGACAAGCTATTGTGTTAGTATTGAATTAGTAACAGTGCCAATCCTAACCATGTCTATAGACAGTGACAGACTACTGAAGGTAAAACATTTTAATTGGAGCTGGGTACCAATCCTAACCTAGTCTACATACAGTGACAGGCTACTGAAGGTATTTGTTAAACATTGTAATTGAGGTTGATATGGTGCCACTCCTTTAAATACCCAGTCTATACACAGTGACAGGTAAGCCCCTGGCCTTGGCCCTCAGCACCAGCTGCTCAGCCACCCACTTGGTCTGCCCGTAGCCATCTGTCAGCTGAGAGGCGTACTGCAGCATGTCCTCCTCCTCCCCACACTGTGTGCAGCCGTGGGGGAACACTGCATTCGTGCTGGGGAAAACAGGTCATACCTTCTTTAAGTGGTGGACTAAAAAGACCCACGCTACATGTACCCACTTAACCTTATAGTGGAATCACCATCCAAATTGAAAACATTCAATTAATCAAGCCTTCAAGTACTTGTATACCAGAGTTATCAGTCTAAGATAGAGGTCCTCTATCTTAGACTGATAACTCTGGTAACGGTGTTCAGAAACTTGTTTTATTCTAGAACTATAATTGTAAGAGTGGAACTCTTTGCCACCAACCAAGTACAGTAGGCATTGGATAGCTTTTAAGAATGATATAGCAGTTTTGGATAATGTGCAAAGGTTTGGTGTGCCATCTCACTAAGACTGTTACACAAAGTTTAAAGCATGAAAAAGTTGTAACCTGATGTAGTGAAGGGGTTTGATCTTGTTGGTGCAGGCAAACAGCACCACATTCTGAGTCCCCAGGACATTGGGGCCATGTAGGGCCTGCATGGGAGAGAGTGAGCAAGTGAGTGAGGGCCTGCAAATAAAAACACAGGTCAACTGGTGGTGTACAGCAAGAAAGGTGTACAGCAAGAAAGGATGACTTTTCATTCATTCTGCACATGCATATGAAAAACAACAAGAGTTAATGACAACAATAAGTACTAACAACCTACATGTACTGTTTATTCAAAACCTACCTCATATGGATAGATAAGGTTGACATGTGCAGCTGCATGGACGATGAAGTCAATCTGAAATGTCACAAGATCATCATTTTCCTTATGGTAAGACTTAAGAGTTAGGATTGCATTTAGAATTTTAGGCTAATGTCACACCTAAGACTACAACAACACAACTCACAGTCATTATCAGGCTTACACTTTCAGTAAATGTTATGTGAACAATTATGACTGTACGAATTGATTCCCCACTGGGGTAAGTTCAGTAACTGTAACAGTTGTAATATGGTACTTCACTGACCTCGTGGCTGAGGAAGTTGTAGTCCTCGTCACTCATGCCTAGGTTCATCAGGGATACATCACCTACATGTACCACAGAACATCATCAGTTATATCATTATATATAAGACAAAATGATTTTTTCATTGATGATTAGACACATAAGAACCTATCTGATTCAATACCTACAAAGCTGAAAAGAAACACTAAATTTTTTTTTAAACGTGGCATATGATATATCATTACATCAGATGCATATATATATAATACAACACGGGGTATTCCGTATCACCCGAGGTATCGGCCCGACCGCGAATCGGATCGCTCGCAGGCCGGAGGGCGATCCGACTCGCGGGAGGGCCGGGACCAAGGGCGATGCGGAATACCCCGTGTTGTATTTTACTTATGTCATACCCACTTTCAATGCAAGATGAGCAAAAAGTTGTATAATAAGATATACTCTGAAGATATTGCAGGGTGGAAGAGATACCAGCTTTTCTGAGGTTGTTGATATTTTTCCTAACCCTTAGCCCTAACCCTAACCCTAACCCTAACCCTAACCCTAACCCTAACCCTAACCCTAACCCTAACCCTTTAAAAATGATATACCGGTAGATAATATCACCATGTCCAAAAAATGACCATACCTTTAATACATGTGATTCTTTCCTCAAAAGCCTTCTCCATCTCCTCCATCTCCTCGGTAACATGACCCCCGTACCCGGGACTCACGGCCAGGTGGTTCCGACTGCTCAGCGGGCTGCGGCGGCCTGACGGGGAACGGCGTCCGGACGGGCTGTGTCTTCCCGACGGGCTGCGGCTTCTAGATGGGCTGTTGTGTCCCGGGCTGAGTCTGGGGAAGGTTAGCACATCATGCTGAGAAATGCAAGGTGGTCTTGTAGTTAGAGTTGTTGACTCAGAATCCTAAGGTTCTAGGTTCAATTCCCTGGCAGGCCCCATTGTTGTGCCCTTTGGAAAGGCAATTTACACCTACATGTATTTCCTCACTAGACTCAGCTGTAAATCAGTACCTAGCTTCAGTTAGGGGCATCCTCTTGGATACTAGTAGAACATAAAGCAGAAAGTCTTGAGTTTAGGGAGAGCCACAACTCAAGCACACTTAATAAGACTTATTGAAAAGAGCAGAGGTGAGTGGTTCAAACCTTACAGTCTGGTCTCAGGTTTGACATCTTGAAAAAGTGATAGACACCTGTTATGTCAATCTTTCCACACATGGGTAATCTTCATTAATGAATTGCTCTTATTGGGACGAGAATTTCTAAATATCCTATAGCTACCTTCCACTGTAATTTCCAGTCGGGAACATGTTCTTATTAGGACTGCTTCTGCCGTTACATTGAGGAAGGATGCCGAAGTACTGTAGGTTGTCCCGCAGGCGCTCTTTGGCACTCAGCTCAGGAAGCTCACGCACCAGGCAGTACACATGGACCTACAGACAATACAAAAGGTATAACTTTAAAGACCTAAGCTTATCTGGTTGAAGAGAAGTATGATATCATCTTGTGAGTATCTCTTAAAAGAAGACGTAGTCAAACTAACAATCTGAGATTTTTTCCTTGACACAGTATGTTTCAGTTTGAGGATAAAGCACTGAAATCATAATGTGTGTTTTGAACTGACAGTGTATGCCATTAGCATTTGACCTTGCCAATGAATCTATGCCTCAAGTACATTGTACATTCAATTTGACAAAAATTGGATAGTATAAGAGATACATACCTTTAAAAAGGGTATCTGACACTTTATCTTTCCATGAAAGTATTAAACATTGCTTTTTTTAATTGGTAAACTTGTGGCTTTTGGACTCTATGCCTTTTCCATTTGATCTTGCCAACGGCCCACACTATGCTACAAGTAGATTGACAAGAGTATAAAAAGTTGAATGGTTACAGTAACCTTTGTACTTCTGAGGAGATCTCTCAAAATAAAGGCTCCCAGAAACCCTGTGGCCCCGGTCAGCAGGACCCCTCCACTGTTCCAGCGGTTTCCGTACTGGACTGACCGCCAAAATGCTCGCAGCTGTATGTCCAGACTGACCCCTGCCTGGTCGTACAGGTCCACTTCCTTCTGCAGGTCAAGTTTACGTTCCGAAGGCTCTGATGCGCTGCAACATGACATGATTATCAACAAACATTAAACTAGCCTCCAGATTTAATGAAAAGGTCAAGCAAAATGTTTTGTGCTAAAGCCTTGTTAGTTGTATTTCTACAGTGTTTGTATCTGTCTTAATTAAGATTACGCAATTTAGAAATTTCGCAATTTTTATTATAATTATTAAATACCAGTACTGCGGGCAGACTGGTCAATCTATAAAATTTTCAACTATCATGCAGGACTTCTATGATTGGCTCTGTCTAAATGTCGTTATGTTAACTCTTAAGTACTACTAAGGGTTTTTTTTCTTTTTGCTTTAAGTTCATAGACTACTGAGTGAAGGCAATTTGAGAATTTCTTGAAATGTTACTAGTATTTGAACAGGGACCACTCCATAGCAAAGTTGAGAATGCAAGCAGAATGTTGGCACTTACTGGTTCAATGATATACAAGTCATGTAGCATAGTACTGTATGTTTCTTTTTTCAATTACTGATCCAGTGGCCTTCTTCCTACGGTACATTTCCTGACCTGCGTTTCCTATCGGGAGCCTGTCTGGTGTCCAGTAGCTGGGCCATGGAGGAGACGGTGGGGTGTTGGAACAGGTCTTTCACTGACAGGACCACATCCAGCTCTTCTTTCACCTTAGACAGGAGCCTAGCTGCCAACAGGGAGTGACTGAAAACAACAGAAGGGATTTATAAAAAAAAGGGTTGAATGTCAATGAAAGCTGCACATCCAGATAATGAAAGACACAAGATTTAGATATAGTTACTCAAGCAACTGGATAGATTTTGAGAAAGGGTAAATACCAACAATGTCAATGGAAATGATTTTAATTGTATCTATATTTTTCAAGAATTACAAAACAGACATCAAAATCTGATTACAACATGTAGTAGCCTAAACAACAAACAGTAGAAAAGACATAATTATGTGCTATATTGTAACCGACCCTCCCAGATCGAAGAAGCTCTCCTGTACATCCACAGTCTTGAGCTGTAGTATGGAGCACCAGAGTGAGGCCAGCGCCCTCTCCGTGTCGGTGGCGGGCGCCCCTGTCTCGTCAGCCTCGGCCTCCCCGCCCATGTCCAGCGGAGGCAGCGCCTTCTTGTCTAGTTTTCCAGAGGAGGGCAGGAGTGGGATGCTGGGGGAACATTCAAAGCAGAAAACTTTGAGATCGTGAACTGCCCATTATGTTTTGGTCTTCAACTTAACACAAAATGCAACACAAAACTAGAATTATGAATTGTTTCTTTGGTTGTTTGTTTGTTTGTTTTTTTGTTATCACATGTGTAATACTCCTACCGGGCAGCCTGTTGAGCTGGGCGGGGGAAAACTATTAGCCCTGAAGACAGTCTGTCCCAACCATGATGGACTGGGTACCAGGCTATGCAATGTTATACTGAATACATTTCAGATTAAGCAGTGTTGCAAGTCTTTCCACCAAAACCACTACTACATGTCACGCCCTGCAGTTACCTGTCGAGGAAGACAAAGTGAGCAGGGATCATGTAGAAGGGCAGTCGTCTCTTCAGCTCGGCTCGGATCTCCCTCCTGCTGGTCTCTCCCTCGGGGACGACGTACGCCACCAGGAACTTGTCTGTCCCCTCCTCGCCCTGGGCCAGCACCACGCAGGCATTCACCAAGGGCAGCTCCAGTAGGGCAGCCTCCACAGCCTGCAACAGTTCACATCATTTGAAAATATAAACCTTCATCTGATGAAAGAATTTTTAAGAAAGCCACCATATTCATGTCCTTGATTGTTATTCTAAGTCACATTTTGTGTCTTCCGTCTCCTCAAAAAACTCCTGCTAGGGTGTATATTGATAAAACATATTTACAAAGAATCAGTATACATAACATGAAAATTATAAGTTGACATGTATCATTGCACTCACAAACCTATATCAGTTGCACAATGTTGGACACATTCATTCCATAATTTCATTATGTCAAGTGCCAGTTCTTATATGCTACTCAAACCACATTGGCAGCTCAGAAGTTCCTGTGTTGCATAGCTTCCCCATGCTATCGGCTTCTCTTTCATGAAAACGCAGTGATAACACACAGACCTGTATCTCAATACTGTATCCCCTGATCTTGACCATGGTGTCACATCTGCCACAGATCTCCAGCCGTCCGTCAGACAGTAGATACCCCCAGTCCCCCGTCTTGTACAGCTTGTCCCCGTCACTCAGCGCCAGTCTGGTGGGACACGGAAGGAAGCGCGCCTGGTTCAGCTGGGGTCGGTTGATGTAGCCCTTCGCCAGGGTTGGACCTGTGATGTAGATCTAGAAAACATGAGGGAATAAATGAATGAATGAGACTCTATTTCTGTGTCGTTCACTTCTGTATGTTCTTATACGACACCATTTGATAATACAATGTGAACAGTACATAAACAGAAGAGGATCAGGCATACAGACTCTGAGATAACCAATCAACCATAAAGTGAACACAAAAAAAGGAGTAGCAAAGACGCATACAATACCGATGTACAGAGTAAACACTTGTGGGTGTGTTTGTAAGACATTTCTCCACGAGTCAACAGTACATGTATATGAGAAGCCAATCTTATAAGCTTCTTAGTGTCGACAACTGAGGCTTTCCAGTCACAAAGCCATGACAAACATGCTGAAGAACAAAACATGCTTTTTCCTCAAGTGTAAATGTTCTTAAGCATCTTTGGTGACTCAATTCTCATCAATAACAAATGACAGCCTTTAACTTTCTAAAAGTTGAGAATGGTACAGTGTTTGAAGAAAGTGCAATAAACTTTGAGTTTGTTCAATAACTGTTGGTGCTTCACTGCAGAAGTACAGTGTATGAGTGTCTGGTCATAACAGTATGCCTATCAAAAATCTAGGATCCGCCATGCTGGTTTTGGTGTAAATGTCACACTGTCTTGTAACAGTCACTAGTGAACATTAAATAGAATGATAGCTTTAAACAAGGAAAACCTACAAAGAACATTGACAAGAATACTATTCAGCACCAAGGACAGCAACATTGGTGCAAACCTAATGGAAAGTAGTTACTAGTAGTCACATAATATCTGACAGGGATGGCAATGAACCTACAAATCTAGCATGAAAACTGCATGATACTGCAGACAGGACTGACCTCTCCTGGGACACCCACAGGTTGTGGCTGTAGCTCCTCGTTCATGATGTAAACCTTCACACCTTCAAGTAGCCTTCCTACTGGACAGAACTTCCGCTGACTTAGTGACTGGATGGCAGGAACATAAGATTTGGTTGTAAGAATCTTACTACCATAGGTCCTCAGAAAATAAACTTTAAGTAACTATGTTCAGTATCTAAGCTCTTAAATGTTCACAATTATCATGAATGACAATCAGTACTATCTAATTGGATAATTTCCAAGCAGATGTAGGGTGAGAAGGCATTGAGGGTTTTAATGACTACCCCATAGACTTTTCCAAATTGCAAAAATTGAAATTATGAGCGATACATTTTAACCCCTGTTTGGCTGTTCTGTAACAGATACAAACTTGCTCAATGGATTGGCCTACAGCTGGAAGAAGGTTCCCTTACAATACTGATACCATAGATCTCTCAGGGCTATATACATGTAAGATGAGAAAGGAAATTTTACCTCTTGTGATGCCTTGTAGTAGGCTGTGAGGTCCTCCACTGCGATGTCGTGTGTCTCTGAGACGCTGTAAAGGTTGAGAAGCTGGACCCAGGGCAGAGACTTACACACACGCTCGCAAAAACCTGTGGTGACCACCTCACCACACAGCCAGATCAGTCTGGGGAAGGTAGAGTAAAGTTGTCAGCAAACTATAGCCACACAGACATGTTACAGTTACCAAGTTCAGTTAACCTAATCTACAATCTGTATGTGATTCACCTGTTTCTGCTGACATGACCTAATGCATTATGAGCAGGACTCCCATGATCAGCTTTGACTTTTGACTTATCTAGACCTACCCACTACCAACTGTCATTACAATCCATCCCTATCTTCTACACTGTTATGCTAGTCAAACATGCACCCCCCTCCCCCACACGTGTTCATGCACACCCCCAAAATAATACCTCTGCTCAAGGAGGTAAACACTTCTGGCCCTATCTCTGCCACCTGTGGCACTACTGACTGTTCTCATCAGCTCAGCTTTCAGATATGATTGCATGAATTGCAAATGTGTGCTCATTACATATTCATGCTATTTACATGGCAACACCTTGAATAAATGCCTTCGTAAAGGGCACAAACCAATGCAACGTCTCTGTATTAGCCTTCTTGGGAAAAGGTTGCATCCTTATTCAAAAAATTTTAGTAAGCAACCAAAAAGAAGAGTTTATGCCAAGTTCTTGTGATGCGTACCCTTGATGCTTTATTTTTTGTAACAAAATCTAAAAATTCTTCACTGCCATTTTTTTATGGAGCTCCCACACTCAAAAATTCTTCACAAAATTTTTTTAGGGAGCAAGTATGGGAGCTCCGGTATACAAATAGGATGGCACCCAGGCTACCAGTTAGTCAATTTTCTGAGGGATTGAGTATGGGGCTCAGACCAGGTATACAAAAAGGATCAAACCCAGGCTACTAACCGGAGGTTCTGTAGATTGTTAAGGTTGACTCCCTCGGTGTCTAGAACAGCCTCGAGCAGGGATGGGGTGAAGAGGATCCGGGTGATGCGATGTCGACTCAGGAACTCCACAAGGAGGGTGGGGTCATAGATGACATCATCAGGGATCACATACAGGGGGATGCCTGCAGAAAGGGAGGGAAAGATTACATGTATGTGTGGCTGACAGTGGCTTTTTTTAATATTTACTTTACTTTTACCTTTTCCAGCCGCATATGCCTAAGGCTGGTTGTGAGGTTGGCATTCTCATCAGGTGGACAAACCACTGTACCCTCTGTAAGACAGGCTCTGTAATACTGACTATTTGTCTGATAACCTCATTTCTAACCCTCAGTCTCTCCTTGTGTTTCCAGCCACTCTTCCCAGGACCCTCATCTCACAGCACTTGTGAGCTTTCTCTCTCATGTCTTGTTTAGGGTCTGGGCCTGACATTTTAATATAAAACCAGAAAAAAAAGGCTATGGGAATATATTGTGAAAGTAGGGTATAAAGGCAAACAATCATCACTCAGTATGTAGGAAATGTCACTGCATTAGACTGCATAGTGTACTTTCCTGTGAGTTGTATAGGTTTGTGCTTTTCTGCTAATACAAGTCAAATCATTTCAGAAGCTAGAATCTAACACTGCAAAATTATTTCATCATTTCAAATCTTCCTCAATATCCATTTTAAAGAATATATATGAAAAATCCTCTCCTCACTGGCAACTTTCTATCCATGCAATCCTGACATTTCTGTGGACATGTAAATATTGGAAAACGCAGCAGACTGTAGCCAAATATCGTAAATATTAGATTGAGTTGTCTGACTAAACCAGCTGAGTTTGATGAGGGCGTAAACGGACGTAGTCGGGGCTGAATGGAAATTGATTTTCATTGTTAAATAATGCAATGCATTCCATGATTCATCTTACTCTTCTCGGTGTTTGAGACAAGCAGCACATCTGGGAAGGCTTAAAGGGGGTTTTATTTGGATACATCAAAATAGAACATTTGCAGGACTCCAGGAAGAGTAGTAAGGAACTGTTTTTTTTTACTAAAGGAGTTCCTAATAAACATAAAGATAAACATAAACAAATACAATAAACATTTGCAATTTCTTTGAAGCTTCTATAGTCACCGATGAATTGAAAAGTAGTGAATTCCACTGACAGTTTTCAAAACCTATCCAGTTGCTTGAGTAACAACTTCCTTGCGTATCTCATTACCTGGATGCCTAACCTTCATCGTATCACTGTCAATTCTTTTAAATTCAGATCAAAGACAACGCCTACACAAACCTACAAGTTAAACTAGACTGAACAGATAAGGGTAAGTCGGGACAGATGATGTTGAATTACCTTTGAGAAGTGGCCGCAACATTTCCCACACAAAGAACACGTTACACGCTACTCTGTCGTCCTCAGCAAACGGGTAGTTCTCGTGGCGCCAGTGGTAGGAGAACACAGCACCTCTGTGGGGACACATGATGCCTGGCAGGAAGAGCAAGACATTCAGATTCAAGTCTTCAAGACAGTCTTATCAATGGATGCTCTCATATCATACATGGGGACCTACAGAATCTTAATAATGATAGTGGTATGATAAACATTGTGCATTATACGTACCACTATTGCTTTCATGACATAGTGCTATAATTATTTGTAGCCAACCTTCCAACAGTTAAAGCCCTTCTCCCATGAAGAGAGCTATGATTATATCAGTCTTAACTTCCACACACTGTAGCACCTTTTGGCTTCCCTGTTGTTCCAGAGGAGTACACAACATAGGCAAGGTTGTCCAGATCTACATGGGGAGGTTGACATGTTCCTGGCCATATCCCCAGCAGTTCTTTGTTCTCTTCCTTAATCTTCTCCTGCCAGTTGTCATCAAACACAACACATGTCACACCTGGAACAAAAGATATGCTACATCAGTCAGTCAACTGGAGTGCATGATTATTGTACTAAAAAAAACAGAATCTTTTTTTTATCAGAGGAGCATTGAGGGTATGCTGAATCAAGTTGATACCAACAAAAGACTAGGCTGTGCCCCCCCCCCCATACACGTATCTAAAATCTGTTTAAGCTGATCTTTGTTTAAAAGTTTGGGCCTACGTATATGGTTGCATCACTGCAGAAAGTTGTATAAGGTAGGCCTTTTTGCTTAGTGGTCAACTTTTTATCCCCTTGAAGCATTTGGACAACACCAAACTTCGCAATGCGAGACAAATTATTCTTTCTCCATAAATCAATCAGACAATCCTTTCAATGGCCTCAGTCCATATTCACACTCTCTCCTTTTCTGTTCTCCAACATTTCTCCCTGTGGCTGGAAACACTTTTAATTTCCAGGTAAAGATTACCGTATGTGATCTAAAATCAATCAAAGGGCCAAGAAAATGTCTTAAGGTTCATTTTTCAGGATGTCTGCTGGCGCACCACCAGCTATGTACCTCTGAAATCCATTCAATCTAACTATACCTTGTACTGACACTACTCCTTTGACCTTGAAGCTTTTTATCGATTGGTGGTTGGGTGTAAATGCCAAGATAGAATTTTGTGTGACCAACAAAATTAAAACCACCCACCTAACACACGCCTCCACTATTTCTCATTTCATATGTATTGACCATATAGGTCTCAAGGCAATATAATTGACAGAAAAATGTCTGGGCGTCACGTAATCATCAGTACAGTTTGGTCACCTTCCAATGACTTTGCTGGTGCAAAAATATCCAAGCCTTTACTTTGAAAGACAGGAATTTTAATACAGACACTAGAGCAACAGTTTTGGGGAGGGGGAATGCAAGCAGGTCATGAAGACAATAATTATTCAATCATTGCTAAATTTCCAACAAGCCTGACAATACTCAACAGTGTACCGTTGATTTGCTCCAATACCAAATTGTTTAATATGCAAACTGTAAATTTTTATTCAATAAGGATGCCATAATTCAATTAAAATATTTAGTTTTCTAAAACCATCCATAAACTGTGTGTAACTGCCTTAAGGCTTGTCTACTATAAAAGACATGAGACCTAATACAAAGCAGAGCATAAGAAAAAAGGAGTAACAGTTTTTGTATTACAAGGTCACATTGAATTACCAGCTAAAAATAAGGTGCATTGAATTGGCATCAGTCACGCACATTCAGACAATGTAATCTAAGAGGTCGTGCAAAACCACTAAATACCAATACAGTCAACCTGCTCCGACAAATGATCTCGTTACCATGCTAATGTCCCCGGATGCACTGATCACCCACTTGGGTGATTGACACGGCAAAAGTAAATTGATAACTTGTGTGACATGTTTTCTTTTCAATTTACAGTAAAGCTTTTTAGTTGTGCTAAGGCCACACCAATTTAATTTCTTGGTTAACGGATACGCCGCTTCATTTTTTTCTGATTTGCAAATAAAAATAAAAATTCAGAATCAACTGCAAAATGCTCATATTTTGCCCTGAACAGTTGAAAACAGTCCTTTTCTTACTACTTGTTACAGTCATTCCATCTTTCAAATGCAGTAGTATCATTAAAAGTTCAAAATTCATTGTTTAAATTTTGAACCAGCCTGGTGTGTTGACTTCATGGCTCCTATCGTACCATTTTGGGCCATAATAGGATGCCTAGGCCTGTTTTTATTTTTATTTTTTTTTCGCCCGCCCGCTCCATTATTTTTCTAGAAAAATCCGTTAACCAAGAAATTAAATTGGTGTGGCCTAACATTGTAATCTACTGTTTATCTACTGGAAGTTTTTGAATGAGCCAGTTTTCTTTAATGTTAATTTCTTTGTTTTCATACTGCAATGACTGTTGGTGATAAAATCCAAAATATGAGTGCCTGGTCATATTAGCATGCTTTACTAAAGAAAAAAAAGCCCCCCTCCCCACTGCAAGTTTCAGTGAGAATTTATGACAGATTGCATATCTGTAACAGTAAACAAGGCAATAATAAGTTTTAAAAAAAGGAAACAGATAGATTAAAAGAAAGAAAACCTACAAAAATTCCACCACAAAACTACTATTCAGCACCAAGGACAGTGATATTGATGTTGTAACAACATTCAGCACCAAGGACAGATTCACATGTGGCATGGATTACCATTTAAAACATATACTTCGGAGAGGAAAAAAATCATGTTTGCCATCAGGATCAAAGCGAAAGAAGAAAACACAAGTTACTGTAAAAAGTTTTCTCCAATTTACATTCATGTACAGTCATTCATTGTCTTCCCTTAGTGTTTAATCTGGAAAATCACACCTTGACAATATTTCAGTTACCTCCATGAAAAATGGAGGTTATTTTGTTTTTCAAAGTTCCTCTCAAATAGAGTTTCTTTCACATGCTAAGATGATGGAAGAAAATGTGTATTGAGTGAAGACCATTATATAGCAAATGTGCACGTCACCAGAACTTACTGAACCTGCACGAAACATGACTAAACATTCAACGGAAACCGCAAAAAATCAGGGTTTTTCTCCTGACCTTTGACCCTTCCGGCGAGGTCAGGACTGGTCAGCACGGCGGCGGGTTCACAGTCCCTCAGGATGTCGATGAGAAGTGGGTCTGGGTACGACACATCCAGCGGCATGTACGCTGCACCTACAACAACACGTTACAAAGATGTCACAGATTGCTGAATTGCAGTCTATATTAGAGCAATTAGAGGAGTGTACTTAACTTCTGAAAGAGAAAAAGATGATACAAGTTTGTATGCCATTAGGCAGTAGACAAAAAGAATAATATTCTCTGTGACATATAGCTTAACTGGCACCTAGGTCTGATGAAGATGTAGAAACATAAACTTTGTTAATCTCCAACTAGATTCCTTTGGGGCAAGGCAGTATCAAATTGGCTACCAGTTACCACTAGGGAGAAAATGGTAACTCATGGCCAATTTGATACTGCCTTGCCCCAAAAGGAATCTGCTTGGAGATTAAAGTTTTGCTATATTTTGTCTCTGTATATGAAGAATGTGAATTATTCTGTGCTGTTGGTATACTGGTGCTTTACTTGCATCCGTACAAAACAAAAAATAAACCTTCTTCCAAAAAATTCTAGAGTGAGTATTGTGCACATTGCTTCAGCTAGAACGTAGCTTCAGGGAATACTTTAAAAATCACTTGGCATGTTTTATAACTCTGGAAACGTACAATTCATCTTGAGGGCACCTAATCTAAACTTTAGGGAAAGGTCAGCCGCTAGATCTATATTACTGAAGACCTGTAGTTTATCACACAAGCTCCTTGTGAGAATGATAAACCCACTGTACTGCAGAAATGTGACCGTGCATGCTTCACTAGCAAGTGCTGTAGCACCCGATCAATCGTTTTGACGGAATTCAAGTCACACCTTTGGTACATTAATATAACAATTATGCTTCTTTTATATAGATGGGAAGGGCTATAAATACTGTGTGAGAAATAAATGTATCAATAACATTTGACACACTGAAGTAGTTGTTTGTGATACCAATTAGCAAAGCTACTCTTAGACTGATAGTAAAGGTTGCAGTGTAAATTATAATGTTTAATGGGCCTTTTGGTAAGTTGCTTTTTTCACTAAGTGATCACCCTAAAAAAAGAGGAAATTAGTACAGTAACTATTTCTCTAAAAGAGAGAAATGAGACTTACATTATCTAGCACGTTACACTGTTTCTACCTCTCCATGGGTAATTTTACCAATCCAATCCTCCGAGTGACAAATGTAAAACATGAAACAACTCAACTGGATGACATTCTGCTGGTAATTTCCTACAGCTCATTTAGCCGCTCGGTCAGGAGGGATTTCATTTCGGCGCAATCAGACGCGACCTTGTTCAGGTACGCCGGGCGTTTGATCGTTCACGGTCCCCCCGAGCGCGGCGGGGACCCAATATCACGAATTCATCATCCCGACCCCGCGTCTGTCACACCGGAACCAAACTTTCCCGTAATAAAACACTGCTTCAACCAACCGTTACGTTATGATTACTTCTATCGAGCTGCCTGATTGTAAGGCAATATAAGGCATAAATCACACACACACACGCTGAGTACAAATATGTTGAATGATGATTCTATCACAGAGTGCAATTGACTGAATATGTAACACACCATCAGACGTTGTTTTAACTATGGCATTTTACGAGTCATACAAAAAATTATTGTAACAGTTATATATAGCTGGGAAGCTTTGAATTTGATGATAAATCAGATAAAGATCTGATACTTATCTTATCACAATATTTATCATGAATAATCATTCAATCTCATTCAGTCCTAATGTTAGCTTTAGCACATGTTTTATGTTGGCTGAAGGATGAAATAGAAAAATATTTTCTTTGAGGCTCCTTTTTCAATGTTATTTACCTTTCATAAAATGTCATTTTTACAAACTTTAAGATTTTGTCTACATTAATGTCTACATCACTAGGGCCATTCTCCCATAAGCTACACGTATTTGACAGCTTAAGGTTAGACAAGGATTTCAAACTATGAATTAATGATGACAAAGTTTAGGCCACCTGTCTTTTTGTCTGTCAAACACATGGCAGAACAACTATAGGTGATAGGAGATTGAATGTGTTAATCTCACCATGGGCACTAGTAGGTACCAACCAATACATAATCTTTATAGCCTTAGAAGTCTACTGGATCCAAAAAATAAATCATCTGGCCAAGTTCTGGAATGGTAAATGGATGGTAATGGTAACAGGACATGACAGGGTCAAGTAGTAAACTTTCGTCTGGTTTTATCACATCTTAAGGCTTAATTAAGGGGAGCAGGAAAATTTTTCATCATAAAAATTTTTCATCATTTACATTTCAACTGATGTTAAGTTTACTAAATGTACTTTCAGGTATTAACATGCAACCATGCAAATAACACACTGTCAAAACCATGAACCTTTAGTAATGATTGTGTGCAAAGAGAACATGGTTCTAATTTTTTTACTCGCCCTGTTGTGTAATAACCCATGTTATCCACAGCTCATTAACCACTGTTGTAGCCACTTCCATCCTCACACTAAGTACAATGACCTTGTTTGGGTACGGGGACTGTCAGAGGTAATCAAACACATTGATCTGATTGCTGTGGTTTGGGTGATGCATGTAATACTGACAATTGCTTATCACCATTTGGCCCATCTCATGATAAAGCCCACTCCATGAGTGGCATAGACTGAAATAAAGCAACCCTGCAACAGTTTTGGAAGTTATCGATAGATGCTAGTACTGATAAGTGCTTTTGACAAAGATGTGTTTTTTTAATACATCCCAAATTTCACTTTCCATCTCATGACAACGGGACATGTCTAATTTCAAAGGAAAATGTCAAATTTGAAAGTGTTGCTATTTGTAAAAAAAACTGTACATGAACATTGGATTCCCTGAATTCCTAATGACAGGTTTAACCCTTTCTTTGCTGTGTTCTGTGGTGACTACAGTTAAAATAAAAGATCAAAAGCTTAAAGTTAAAAGCGGCTTGTGAATGAAACAGGTGTCACTGACTTCATGTCTATGTGTATTTGTCTGACAAACATTTAATATTTGGAGAATCCATGACAGCATCTGACGGCTCTTCCAAGAACTTATTAAACTAAAGGTTTTAATCGCCCTGCAATTCTAGAAAAATCCTAATTAGATAAATACTCATAATCTGCAACTTTAAATTCTATTGGACATTTATGTTGACTATGGGTAATAAGTTTTATTACCGGTAAGTAAAAGGAAACAGCCCACCAGGGTTGAATGTCATTACAGGAAACCTAATTCCAGTGAAACTGTACTTTCAAACTATGCTGGTCCATTGATGAATTGGTGCCCGGCAGGACTTGTATATGACCTGGATCCATCAAGGTTCACATAATCAATATGGACAGAATGTACGCCCGCGTCACCAGACCGAAATTGGAAAGAGGTTTCCGTGCGGAAGTTATGATGGAGGACGTTACCTGCTTTGAGAGTGGCGATGTACGCGATCGGGTACTCCAGACACTTCTCCAGATAGATCCCGACGATGGTGTCCACTTGTACGCCCTTCAGCTGCAGGTTGAGCGCCAAGACGTCCGTCAACTCGTTCAGCTCGCCGAACGTCAGCTGCCTCCCGTCGTCCGAGACCACGGCCACGGTGTCCGGAGTCTCCCGCGCCTGCCGGACGAACATCTCGTGGAGGCAGCCCTGCTGGACGTACTCCATGTTCCACCTGTACAGGAGCTGGGACAGAAGCGACACTGTTACTCACACGGGCAGACTGATCACAGAACGACTCGGTTACGGGAGAGCGACCCTGCCCAACAGATGCACGCGCACGTACCACAGCCCACGCAAACTCAAACCCCGATCCATCACGTGCGCGTCGTTTTCTTACCAAACAAAATTTAATTATTCAGCCCCTGCCTATATAATGGCAATGAATATTCCGACTGCTTGGTCAATTACCAGTGAGAGAGGCTAGGGAGAAGGCTGGGGAAGGGAAATTGCAAAATCTAATCAAGTCACGGGGGCAGCTCATGTCAGCCCAGATAGATTGTTCCGGAGACATAATGAGTTTGATGTGAAGGATTGGGTTTAATGAAAAATGCAGCTTTTTTTGGGGTCTCCCAGTGGGACTTCAAGGAGAAACCTCAGATATATTACTGTAATGATACCGGAAGTCAGCTACAGGCTCGTAAACTGTTGTTAAATCTGAGGCCTGATTGAAACGTTTGGGGAACATTCGGGCTAAAAAGTGAACTGCAAGACAAGCTGTACAGACAATACCCTTAAGACAGATTCGCTCAATTATGAAGAAAAGGGCAGAAAAGAATTGGGCAGATTGTCTGGAAACTAGAAAAGAAAGAAAATGGGAAAGTTTCAAAATTCAAAAGAGGCAGGATATCAGAGAAGTGATTCATGTTTCTGCTGGGTAAAAATTAACACTAAATTGGCTGAGCTGGTTTAGATACATGTAGATGTCTGTGAATTATAATAATTGTCAGGCCAAAAACCAGGTCAGGAAAGGCAAGTTAAACATAACTCACTTACAATGAGATCACTATTATATTTGTCACAAATATTTGATGACGTTTAGCATTTAAGGTAAGCACTGATATCAATTGCTCTACAAACATCAGACTTACCATGGCCCATAGACATAATGAGCTGACAGTGTAATAAATCATGCATTGGGCTGTTCCAAAGAAAAATAAATTTAAAAGGTAGAGGAGGTGAAGGTGGAAGGGGTACAAAATCAAGTTTTGTCCCTACTCAAATCAAGTTTTGTCCCTACTCAGGTTTTGTTCCAATTCAAATTTGTTCAAACCTACTAGTACCCTTAGGCTAGTTCCAATCCCAATTTGCTTGAAACCATAAACACAATCCAATCCAGCATCTTCGAATTCCACCCCTTCTACCTTTATTTTTTTAAACAGCCCATACCCTTTTAAAGTCCATTTTCTAAAACAGGTGTTTTAGACAAACAAAACTTTGGGTAAGATTTTTCAACTCGAGACATGTCATGGCAAAAGTGTCTATGAATGTAAATGAAAGTATAGTCTGTTATCAGAGACTTTCAGGCTCTCCTCTGACCTGTAATAAATGACTTTAATATCTGTAATCTTGATGGGACATGTTCTGTCTCTCAATTGGGAGAAAATGTCAACCTCTTCTCCACTGTCCTGCCACAAGAGCATGTTGGCAGAACATACTCCGCCTATGAGTATGAGAAACACAGATTTTTTCAGTTTTTTTCATTTGATGTTTAGCCATCTGAATATTGCCTGTTACAGAATATCTTTTCTGAAACAACATATGAAAAATATAAATGCGATATTATTCTTAGATACATAAATAAAAGCTTCAATGAGACGTTCTGCCAAAGTGCTTAAATGCACATTGCGGGTTTCGCACAGGCACAGTACGTTCTGCCGACGTTCTCATCAAGTGACCTACATTTACATCATGATGAAATGGAGGCGTATGAAAATTCAAAAGACAGAAAATGAGGGGGAAAATACCATCTATCCTTTAATATCATTAACTGTTAATATCATTCCTTTTTTTTTACTAGAAGCTGTCTTATTTTAGCCTGGGTAAGTGTCCTCAATAGTTTTAACTTTAAAAAGTTCATCCTGGCCGTTGAATGATATATCAGCATAAAACTAGGATGCATCTCATTTAAGCAATCTAGGAAACTGATTTAAAGGAGTTCCAATCGTGATTGAGGAATAGTCCATATTTGGAAATGCTAGGGAGGGGTGAAAAAAAATGTACAACATTATCTAGACTTTGAGAATCAAGAGCTGTACATAAAATGACGTTTTGAAAATGTTACTTAGAAGAAAGAAGAGATCACGAAAATTTTTAACACACCCCAAAATATGTCAAATGGATTATCCCTGGTTTTGGCTGATGTTACAAAGATGACGTGTTCATTAATACCAGTTGCAACTGGTCATCCCTGTGTAAACATCATGTGTTTGTGCCAACAACTATGGTGCGTACTCCTGCATTTCCAAGTATGTCACATTTCTAATTCAACATCACAGCAGCTTATGCAAAAGGGCAGAAAAAAAGTAGATACTGCGTGCAGTACAGGGGAACTATAAAAGCTGAATCATGTGAATGAAGCGAGGGGCCAGCTTCTGGCACAGGTAACGACTGACGCTACTGAGGTATGGGCGGTCGGGGTCCCAAGCCGGCATGTTGACGTCGTTTTCTCCTGTGCAAAATGTATAGGCTTCATACGTACCTTGCACACTTGAAGAAGACAGTATAGAGCAGGGAAACAAGTCTGCAGAAGATGGTCTAGCTAAGCATGCCGGAAAGAAAGTAACTTGACGTAAGATCACCCGATCTCTACATGTGCACTATGATCACGGAATAACAGCTGACAGCACAAAGGTCACTCAGGCAAGTCCACTTACACCGTTCACGGAGGGGTGGTCTTTTCTGGAATAAAACTTTTTGTCGTCCGCTCAAGTTCTTTACTGGTTACGATGTTTTTGATCGACAGCAAAGTTGAAGCCATCATAAACTTGAAGGATAGAATATGCAATGGTAATAGCGGCGTTGTCGTACTGCCCATGACATTTGGGGTGCAATATAATCAATGGCCGCTATGTGTTGCTGCTGATTGTTAATTTGTACCTGACAAGTTGCCTGTGACGTGCCTCAGGACTAGTCAGGAGGGGCCAAGACTCCGAAGGCCTCCAAAGTTCCAGTATCATTTCGATGATCCATGTTAAGGTTATCGATGTTTAATGTCAAAGTTTTCCAGAAAGATAAACATACTTGTGTTCCAACATATACTGACAGGAACTTTGAGAGTGTACCTACATGTATCTAACGACTAGATGACCTGCCCTTTAAGTTTAACAAAACATATCTACATATATGTGTCGTCTTGTCTTTGCCTACTAAACATTTTATTTGTCGTCTTGTCTTTGCTTCGTAAACAGACCTTTGGTATTTAGATGATCACTCTTGTTTCCGGCTTAGGCATTGCGGTGGTGTATGGGAGTGGGAGGTGCGAAGTAAATTTTACAGGTGTAACTCTAACGTTACATATTCACGGTTAACATCAGTCAAACCAGGGCACAGTGCATAGTTGTCCTTTCGGCAGAGACCTATCAGAACTTGGTACTAATATTTTAGCCATATTTGGGGGACTGGCAATGAATACAACTTGCAGCTAGTAATGTGTTGAAATGTTAGAAAACATTAACTATTTTTTTTCTTTCTGCCATGTGACTGTTCTTGATCTCTTGAGCATGGGATATCTTCTATTTCTTTGATTACGATGTTAAGTTTTACTCTATACACCTTTGTTTGTACTCGCGTGCCATACAATCAATGTATCGTCTACAATTGCCGCGTGCAATACACTCTGATACAGTTCTTCTTCAATATATTTCTGTTGTATAATATGTTCACAAATGATTTACTCCTCGCCTGTATACGAAATAAATAAATCCCACACTTGCCGATTCCTTCAAGCCTATCCCCCACTCTCCATCTAATCAGAGGCTTAAGCCTATTTTTGACGTGTTTCATGCGTTTTTATCGGGCTTTCTTTTCAAGTTTGCAATGGTACCTTTTTTCGTCCGCCAAACGGATGGCAAATCGATGCTGCCCTGCCAATTTGATACTGCCTCCCAACTTGATACTGTCTTGCCAATTTGATATCGATACTGCCCTACCAACCGTCTTGCAGCTACAAAAGGATCTGCTTGTAGATATGCCTTCCCTACTCTCCAAGCAGAGGTTTGAGTTTTGGGTCATTTTTCGCGTGTTATTAGTTTTTTTAATCAGGGTTTCTTTTTTTCACCCAACCCAACGTGAAAAATAAAATTCCAGTGCAAAAAAGAAACCCCGATAAAATTTTTTATAATTAAAAAGCCTAATAACACGCCAAAAATGACCCAAAACTCAAACCTCTGCCTGCCCCAGTCGTCCCGCCGTGAGGGAAAAGAACGACGTCATAAAAGTGGAAAATCCCTCATCCGCACCACGGTGACGTCAGAGTCTATAGAAAAGTTCCCACGGACGACTCACGGAGAATAAAAACGTGATTCCTGAATCCTGGACGTCAGTATGGTTGTCATGGCAACGCCGTCTTGGGACCTATTTCCTACTTGTCAATCTTAATCTTGGGGTCAGTGGGGGTTGAAAAGCCTTTATTGCTCAATACTATACAGGTCGTATCGAAATGTTATTAGTATTCATACTTCCTTCTTGTATATTTGACAACGGAATTTCTAAGATCGCTCACTACATGATAAGTCCCTTTCATGTGATGTCGTGACAGAAAGTACGTCATAGAAAGGGTCGGTCATACACGAAAGGTCAAAATGGCATTTTACATTATGAAATATTCTGACTTCACTATGATTGTATCAGCTTCTCTCTTACTTGCAATTGCGTCAGTCAAGTTCCTTCAATATAATAAGTGAAACCATAAAGTCGACATAACATAGTTCACATACTAGCTCATTACTGTGACGTAGCGTGGCCTCTTTTATTACATTATCGGAACAACAAGGAGTCCTCTAGATATGAATATTACTTGTATATGATTCGTCGGGGCACCATATATAGAAACAAATCAAAACATGGCGGCCTGAACATGTGTGATAAACGAAGATCGTATATATCACTCCTGCTGCCTTGTTTTCTGTAGGTATATCGCATTACTGGTAAACTACCCCAAGGCATAGCACAGCAGATTTGTACAGTTACCCTAGCTACGAGCTAGATCAGACGGATGGTCCTCATCCCTACTGCTATCAATAAGTGTAATGGGTTCTTAACGTGCAAGAGGCGTGGCTAGCGCTCTACACACGCAAGGGATCTTCGATTTAACTGTTTACTGTCTTGTTGAAGCATGCCTGATGCAGATCTGTCTGTGGCTGTAAGAGACAGTATCAAATTGGCCATGCATAACCCGTTTGCCAGACAGTTACTGTTGGGTTGGCATTAAAAATCCCAATAAAACCGCCTAAAACACGTTAGACACAAGCTGAAGCCTAAACCTCCGAGTATTGGAGAGTTGTTTTAACTGTAGGTATGTCGTTACCACAAAGTATAGTTGGAGCATCATCACTAGAATAAAGCTTTAAACAACCCCGGCAATGAAATGTTCAGTTCAAAGATTGAGTGTAAGAAGTCGTTCGGTGTATTAAATGTAGTCAGCTGCCGCCGCGCCAGGTTCCTGCGAAGCTGGTGTGTTACACCGAAGGGCGCTTATACCGGGTATACAGATACAGATATAACTTTCCAGCAGCGCTAGATTCGGGTGAGTAGCATGCCAACACACAGCGGGATTCGAACTCCGCAACCTCCAGTTCCAGAGGCAGGGTCACTACTTTAATCCCTAGACCACGCACGCCACTACTTTTCGATTGTGCCCCTGAGGCGAGGCTTCAGCAGGTACATGTGTTATAGGATGTACCAAACAACAAGCGCCAAGTACCCCCAGGGTGAAACGATGGTATCTATTCTTTTCCAATTTCAAGTTACAAATACCGCAAATTCTAAATGCAAGCGGATATGGGCATGTTTTCGCGGGAAAAGTGCCGGGGGCTCAACTTAGAACACACATAGGACACTCATATTATGTTTTCGGGTAAAATCCCACCCACCTAGTATGTTTTAATTCCTGTTTAGTCATCAATATTGCCTTTCCTTCTTAAGCCTGTTTTTATCGTTTTAAGAAGTCTGTGTCCTTGAATCTAATCGCTATGTCAAGCGTCGTTTCTGTTGATTTATTTCTTGTGTCGAGTGAAATCCCAGACAACAAGCCGTCTCCATTCCTTGCGGTTTGGACGCCGTTGATTCTAATCTGAGGAATGGCACTTCTCCGGACCCGCTAGTGGCCGAATGCCGAGAGGTCCGAGGCGACTCATCGCGCAGAGATTCGCCGGGCGCCCGTGATCTGGTGTGGTCCTCCCGGCACGATGGCTCTGACATCTGTAGGTTGTGTAGTTTGGCCTGGAGCATAAGAATGACAGGCGACAGTTGTGCTGACAAGTGTTCCGTTGTACTTTAAATGTTATCGGCAGGAGTTTACACAGTGGAACGACAAAACAACGGGTATTGCACACTTCCGTGTGACACATGATGAGACATATATACCCTAATAACGTGCATACCAGCTCAGCACCATTATTTCAGGTAAATGCCAGCACGTCTAATTAGCCCACCCCCAAACGAGCCCTAGCTAATAAACCTAGCCGTGATACAAAACGTTGTCTGTGGTTAATCTCCAAGCAGATCCTAGGGTGGCGAAAAGACAGTATCCTTTGGCCAGAGAGGGTCCAATTCGCCATCCAAGGGTAGCGACAAAAAACGGGCCATCTATAAAAAGGTAACGATCTTCCCCCATCAACATCTGCTTGGAGAGTAGTCTGTGGTTTGATTTTCTGTCGATCACGGAATCATAACGCGGAAATCCTCTACCATAACGTCACAAGTCACGATTGTCAACAATTGAATTTGATTTGGGCTTTATTCAAGACTCCAATCAATATCAAGTGAATCCATAAAACTGTTTGCGGTTAGGTTAAAGTCCTATTAGGTCGTGGTGCACTAAGGCCGCATATATAGACACAAACACTGATCTGGAGTCCTAACAAAGTGTGGCGAGTTTTAAAATAAAAGTAGTCCGGAGGCCATTTGTCACGAACTCGAGGAAGGGACTGTTAAGGGTTGGGGCGCTAACCCGGGTGGTATTTTGATCATACAAAACGATCACGTTTCGCGGAAAAAGATAAGAGATCTCCCCGTGTGTCAGTGATATATAAAGGTGTACATGTTGGTGGGCTACGCTGGGGGATGTTGTATGAAACTAGTATCGGAAGCAAAACAAAACGCAATACAATACAGTACAAGGGGTGACGAGCTATGCCCCTTGGCAAGGTCTTGGGCACAATTGCTTACATGGCGACCTGTTGATGCAGCCATGAACGCTGACGGTGACAACAACTTGTTTTGTCAACAGCAGAGGATGTTTCACTACGACAGGTAAACAAAAACACACAATCCACACGCCTGAGTCACCTGAACAGGTGTGAAATTCTTTCTTTCGGGCGGGCCGCGACCACATCCCGAGGCGTCCGACGTTCGTGGGTGTTCGGGTATTTTCGGAGCAGGATGTCGGGCCAGACAATCGTTGCCGACGGCGAGCGATTCACCTGGTTGTGCAGATCGGCTGCGGTGCGGTGGGGGTGTTGTGGCCATAAATGTCGATAATTCTGGTAGTCTGGTCTCACCTGTGGTGTCTAGGATTAGACATAGCCGCCCGCAAGCGGTGAAAACAGTTTTAGTGTAAACTACGTAATTACTCATAGTGACCCGACTGCGACGGTCATGCACACTGACTAGTAGTAGTATAGACTTGTTTACATCCAGATATCAACACACTCGAGACCTTATATGGCAACCACCTGCCTTAATCGTGAACCTCCGAAAAAATAGTGACCCCACGAGTTTGCTGGTTTTATACTGGGTTAAACTGTTGACATCTTTTTTTGTCACAGTGTTACGCATGATCATCTAAAGCTCAACAATAATTATTATACTTTTAGAATAAGATTCACCAGTCAAAATATAGTTTTATTTTGTCCTCACATAAGACTTGTTGTTATGTGATAATCTGTACTACTTTTTGTTAATTAACTTTCTTTTATGCTACATTCTTTACGGACAGATATGTAGACTAGACTATATCATACAGTCTGTTCTAGATGTAAAAGAACAAATTAATTTAATCTCTTGGAAAATAATGGGCTGATGTTACAGACACAGGTTTACAAGTTTACTCTGTGCCCTGTGCCGGGCACGGTCGGCTGCCGTCCCGGGCCGTACAGGGGGTTTACTTTGTGCCCTGTGCCGGGCACGGTCGGCTGCCGTCCCGGGCCGTGCCCTGTGCCGGTACGGTCGGCCGCCGTCCCGGGCCGTGCAGGGGGAGGGGCGGAGAAACGCGTCACTGCCGCGATGTGTTTGTGGGGGCTGGGTGAGCTGGGGACGAGCCTTTCGGATCTCCCTCCCAGAGTGCTTATCTCGGTTCCGCCGGCGACTTTTGTCCAAACCGACTCAAACGTCAACATTTACGAGCGCGGCAAAAATGCACGTGATGCGACTCTTTTCCGACTGCGCAATTAGAGTTAAGTTTACAATTGTCCTACCGACACACGATACGTCTCTTTAGATCTTGTCTACGTGGAGTATGTTTAGCAGAAGGCGCGGTGAATGGGGTATAGAGAGACCCAACGGAAGCTTCTGAAGAGAGAAAGCACAAAAGTCGGGAGCGTCGGCGCTGAGAGGGGAATACCTTTGCTACGTCATCGCCTTATTACCATGGGTGGCCGCCACAGGAGGAAGTCGGAAACTGCCTAAATGAGTTGTGCAGCCCAGAGGAGTACGACTCTCCGAGGGCGTCCGTCCGTCCGGTAGTCAGCGAGACTGGCGGGGGTATAAAGCTGCACGTGTCGAGCCAACCGCAGTAGCGAACAGCCAACAGCGTCGGAAACATCGCCCTAATCCAACCGCAGTCCAGAGACAAGAGTTTTATTTTCCATTCCGTCAACTCTTTTTTTTTCAACTGGGAACCCCAGAGAGGCTAATGAGTTCAAAGGCGTTGCTATTTACCTTCTCGCCACTGCTGCTGGTGTTTTCGTTTTGCCGGTCAGTGCCGATAGACGACGCGAGAGACTCGATGGGCAGGTCGGTTTCGGTGAACACTGCCGAGGCGGCGGTCAGAAACTTTCCGATGACTACCGACATGCCGAGAAGAAAGCGAGAGCTTCCGAGCGGCGACGTAGACGTCCAGGACGACTTCGGGTCGGGTGAAGACTTGGACCTCCTCTCGACGGGTCTTGAGCACTATTCCTCTGATAAGGAGGAGGTTACAAGAGACGACAGATGGGAAAGAAATATCGACGACGATATCGTGCGGATGCGGCAGCTGTACTGCCGGGCTGGCGGGCATCACCTACAGATCCTCCCCGACGGGACCGTCAAAGGCACCAGACACAGCGGAGACCAGTACGGTACGTCAACAATGCCAGCCAACAATAACTTACATGTACAACTGTTAGTAGACCTAACATGTTATGTCGGAGAGCATCTTCCTAGAGTTAGTTTAAGTTCTGATCAGTGGAAGGACTTTTAAATCAAAACATTCAGATAAGACATTTATTGCATTGCACGCGTGGAAACCCACGGATTAAGATATCGCTGTAGGAAATGATGGCATCAGTATTCTTGCTATTTCTGTTACATTCACTTGAAGCGTTTTTTCCGCCCCTTTATCTGCACGGTTGTTGAAACATGCCGTACATATTTTCTGTGCCAGTCATGTCATCCCTATAGCCTAGCGCAGGCGGCGTGTACAAGGGCCGACTTGTTCTGCCTCACAGAACACTCTATAATTTTCATTTCATACCGTCCGGTCGGGTCTGTAGTAGACAATACAGAAGATTATGAACTTATGTTTTAACACTTCCGTTCATGTCTGGGAGGAAAATAATTACACGTTTTACATGAACAGGAAATTGTTATCTAAATGTGTAGTGAAACTTTCACCCAAGCAGAAAGCAGTCGTGTTTTGGTCAGAATTATGGTCGGTTTTCGACGAAAATTCAATAAGGAAAGATCACGCACTCGTGAGTTCGTCTGTATTCGTGAAATTTGCGTCACGGAAGATTACGTGCTTGATTTTCTTTGCCATCTTGGCATCTTAATTTCGCAAATTCGGCAGCAAATTTGAATTTAGATAGGAATGACCATAAATTAAATCCAGCGTAAACTTTGGCGAGCTCGCAATGCACAAAATAGTCTGTGTCGTTTGAAAATGAGGTCATGCCTCGGCGAACCCATTCAAATGTATCTTTTCGGGAGGTCAGACTGTGTGAGGGACCCCAGACACAATGACGCAAACATTCTACCCCTGATTGTCCGCGTCTACGACTCAAAAGACCGAGGAGAAATGAACCGTACGTGATGACGTCACACATATGGACAGCAAAATGGCGACGGGTCGGGATGACGTCAGCGGCACCAGGCGTGACAAAAATGGCACGATTCCAAAAATATATCTCTCCGTCCACTTCGGGCCTGGCGTCGGCTATTTTTGGAAAACGTTGCATTATTCAGCGGAATACAATGGAGTTGTTAGAAAAGAAACTAGCGTCGCCCGTCGTGGGGGATGTGCGTATTTGGAAACGGTTCTTTTAAAAGCTGTAATTATACCTTATGGAGAAATTTCAACAAAAGCCGTGCTGTAAAAAAAGAACTTTCTTTACTTCTTTTATATGTAAAGTGGCAAAGGCGTTCAGGAGATCTCATTATACAAGGGTTGCTCTATTTTGGGACCTTAAAATTAGAAAATAGGTCAAATTGCAACTGTACTACAGTTCTGCATACAATTTTAACCATACGTTGATAAAACCGATTCCATTGTCTCTGCACTTTGCGGCTTTTGAAAGAAGCAACATTCTTATGCAGCTTGGCCTTAAATACAAGAAAGCTTTCATATACCGACGACTTTGAAAATGCTTTGCTAATGAACACAAAGGCTTTTCAGGGCTGACTAATTACACTTGAGCTGACATAAGAACATGATTCCCTTTCATGATTCCCTTCTCGAGCAGGGTATTACATGTAGATGGAAAGGTTTGGCAGAGATTAGTTCATGTAGTTTACGTACCTTAAAGACCAGCTACAAACGGAGAGTTGAAAGTCATCTGTAATCTTTAACTCCTGGAGAAACCCGAGTTTGGCCACAGGCAGAGTGAAAAAAAAGACTTTAGCTTTGAAGTCCTACAACAGCTATGTTTTATTGTGTCATTGTGGTAACTTGACATTCAAACTTCACATTGAGATTTAGAATTCAGGCTTCAGGTCTGAAGTTTCCAAGCGGCAGAAAAAGGGGAGAAACAAAGTAGGATAAAACAAGCATACAGCTGACGTGTGATATGGAAAGCAGGCTGTTAGTGTGGGTGTATTTGTGTACATCTCTTGTTTACGTCCGGTGAAGGTTCTGTGTTGGTAACGCCAGATGAGAAGCCGGCGGGGGCCCGCCCTGCCACGCGCCGCCGCCCACCATGCCGACCTTCGGCGCGACCTTGGAACGACTAGCACACAAACAGCTTGTTTTACCCATCACCGCCTACTAACCGTGTACACTACTGCAGAGTAAACTCTGCTCCGAGTCTTTTTAATAGCTCCATGTACAGAACAGGGAATGTCAACTGTTGTCCTTGTTTCAATGCCGATGCTACGAGGTTCTAGAGAGATACGAGCAGAGGTTAACGTTGGGCTGGCGTAAAAAAATTCCGTACAAAAAAAGAAAGCCCGATAAGAAAGCCTAAAACACGCCAAAACATCTGCCTCTGTTAAAAAGGACGTTTATTTCCAACCCACATGGTTAGCGTAACGTTAACTATAATCAAATGCAGTGCAACAGTGGGCTCGTGTACTGGATACGAGTATCCCAATGTTCTGTTTATTCTGTTTAGACGCATCTTTGTCAGAGGTGAAGCATGCTGATATCCCAATACGTGTGAGAAAATTCCCCACTTGAAATGTACCCGAAAACAATGATGATGTTTTTGTTGGTTTTGATAACAAAGTAATCATATTTGTAACGTTACAGATTTCTGCACATACAACGAATGTATGGTACATAATAACGCGACTAATACTAGTATGTAATTCTCAAAACTAAGGAATCGTTTAAAATAGCGTTCCGCTATCAACATGCCTCATCGTCATCAGCTTAAAACTAGGCCATTTTCATATCCGCACCCCAGTATGCAGCCAGGAGCTGAAACAAAAATGATGTCTCTCTCAATGGCACAGACATGATGCAAAAAGATGTCTCTTTACGATTGCTTTTCTCTTACCTTGCATGTGCTGATACGATGCCATACGTATGCGTACGCGTGCAATACAGTGCGGCAAAGGAAGACCGTAGCGCCATGAACTTATAAGAGAATTCTAGTCTACCAGGCTACAAACTGTACTCCTCTAGCATGTTATCTGTCTGTTTCTACTTTTTCTGGCTCCCTCTGAAGCCTGGTAGAGAGGCTATTCAGAACCCGTTTTCTCTAGTTCTTGCTACCCCAGCATCTCGTTTTGTTGTATCATCTTGCCACTGTTCATATATTATAAAAGTCAAGGATAAAGTTTCAACCCAGATACTCAAGACTAATTTTGTGTAATTTTGTGTGTCCCGTGCAGCTGCGTTAGAGATGGCCCCGGTCCACTTTCGTGGCGTCATGAGAATCAAGGGCTACGCCACCGGCCTGCACCTCTGCATGGACGCTAGGGGGCGCCTCTACGGATCGGTGAGTACACATTCCAACAGTTGGTCGTCACATGTTAAACTACCTGTTAAACTATACAAGGGAACGGGCCGATAGGTTTTATTGAAGGGACCAGTTTATTCAAATGAAAACGCCAATAATCAGTTACGCAAAGGGAAAAGCTGCTACGTATGAAATAGAAAGGACAGGCAATGATGATGATGAACTTCTAGGAAAGTTTGTTTTTTATTCCAATTTTAGACAATGTACAGAATTAAATCTGTATTAAAACCAAGCTTTTCCTTGTTGCAGTCTGTATTCACGGAGGAGTGTAAGTTCCGAGAGACCTTGGAGGAGAACCTGTACAACACGTACTACTCCGTCCTGTACGGCGCCAGGAGAAAACGTTGGTATGTGGCCCTCAACAAGCAGGGACGGCCCCGAAATGCACTGCGCACCAAGCGGAAACAGTTGTCCACGCACTTCCTGCCGAGACGAGTGTAGGGCGACAAGGGTTAAACAACAACCTTCTCCACTTCATTGTTGCACCATGCACTTGTCAATGTAAATCTGTTGGGAGAATATAAAGGATAACCTCTCACCTTTCAAAATGCATTAGCGTATCAGATACCCAATGATGATACGTTGGTGTGATGCCCCTTGACATTGACAAGTGCATTATATGACTACAGAATTTGACTTTGACGAATTCTTTAAACCAGTGTTATTCATTGCTCGTGACAAAATTGTAATATAACGAAGAGAAAGAGAGGAATTTAGCGGTACAGTGTTATTTAATATCACCGTCTGGTACGGTTGTATGGAACTTTATTTATTGTTTTAAATGTTTCGTTGTTTCAAAAAGTGTTAATTAATACAAGGGCTGTGCCCTATGTGTGTAACAGAGCCACGGAGACACATATGTAGTGCTGGCGCTAGATATACTCAAGATATTTTACAACTAGAGGTCGGAGATCTCATGTCTTCGTCAGAGGTACATCGTTCTAGAGAAATTAACATGCGTATTCTTCACTCTTTTTAATAATCAATTTGGTCTAAAGAACAAAAGAATCTCTGTACTATTTTTATGGTACAGAACACCCTGAAACGGTTTGCCGCAGATTATACAGATGCGTCGTCACCCGTGTTAGCCCCCTCCCCCTACCGTTATTTGTAGTTTGGTAC